CCCCCTCCAATTGCCCATTTTTTGTGGGTCACTGTAAGTCTGTCAGGTGGTCCGAGACCCCGCTACAATTGAAACTGCTATGCAGTCCTATGGTTCCTCGCAGGCGCGAAATGGGCCAGTGGCGGACAGAGCGACGAAACCGCCCAGATCGAACGTTCGCGAAAGTCAGCCCTTATCCTGGAAAAAAACACCCCCAAAGTGTTCAAATCGCGATGCAGCTGGAGCAAAGAAACTGCGAAGCACACCCAAAAAATCGACGGGGGCCGCGCGGGGCCCATTGTCAATACCACGGGAGAGATGGGAGGGGGAGGGGGAGGCTGTGTGATAATTTGGAACCAAACAATGCAGGATTCACGCCTAGGCCACCCTCGGCCTCCGCGCGCGGCCGCGCGGCTCCCTGCCTGTGGCACACAGTGTGGCACACAGTGTGGCACCCACCCCACCCCTGGCCGCCTGCTAAGCCCCGCCACCAATGCCGGCGCGCGTCCTCGCCACGGGGAGGGGCGCGTCGGCAACCCTCTCGGAGGCAACCCTCGCGGCGGAACGCGGCGGCATGAGGAATCACTGCAGTTGCTGGAAACTAGGCCGCGCGCCGTCTGGCCGGCTGGCCAGCCCCGCGGGGAAGTTCACTGGTTCGAGCGTCCCTTGCGAAGCCCTCGCAAACCGGCTTCAAAAATGCCACGGCACTGTGTGTTACTTTCAGTTAAAAATTTGCACACCTGCGTATACACTCGCAGCGTTTCGCCGCTCTGTCTCTCTCGCGCCCCTGGGACGCCCCATGAGAGCGAGAGAGACAGGTGATGAGGACGGTGATGAGGGCGAGGGAAGCGGAGGGCGAGGAGGCCTTCCGTTCATCTCTGGGCCTTCTCGGGAGAAGAGGTCCTTCCGTGTCGCCCTGCTCGCGTGGGGAAGCCCGGGCTGCCAGCCAGTCTGCCTACACTCTAAGTGTCTTACAGTGAGAGGCCGCACCATCCTGGCGAGGATTTTTCTCCATACAGAGATGAAAGAAATTAGACAAAATATCTTTGAGGCAGGCCTTGAGTTTTAGAGGTGAAGTTACGAAGTCAGCCCCGGAAAATCTTCGCCATTCCGCTCCTTCCCCTTCGCCTGGCTGCTGGCTGGCTTGGCTCGCTTGCTGGCTGAATCGAGAAATGTGACGTCACATTCGTCTGAATGTGAATCATCTCCCTTCGTCGCAATGTTTGTGTCACTCCAATTACGCCTGGGCACAGCCGATCGATCGTATACAATCCCAACGAACGACGTGGCACGTACTGTACTGTGGAAACAAACGCGACAGTGTGCCGGGCAGTGTACTTGCTGCGCCCTGCCCCGCCTTCCGATACACTGGGCGCTTCGTTCATCTGTGGACCTGTGGAAGCGGTGGCTACACTGTGCCCACCGAGTGCTGCACACTGGAGTGCCACCATGGAGACACGGTTTTGCCCATTTTTTCTCGACTGCCTTCATTGATTCCGTGAAGAGTCCTGCTGCTTTGTCTCGGGATAATCCACGGCGAGGGCAGAGGGGGCGAGAGTATGGAGTATGGATGGACGAGGAACGCATCCTTGGCTCTTCTGCCTGCTCCTTCACTCAGAGCGCGCGATTCAGGATAAAATTTTGGCAGGGTCTTTTTATTTTTATTGTTTTTAGTGCTCGTTTCGCAAGGGGGTGGAAACTTCCTTTCCTCTGCGCAGTGCCGAGTACCGGACTCCCCCCTTGCTGAACTCCCCCCCCCCCCCCACCCTCCCCCGACCCCATTTGGGGCCGCAGGGTGACGACGCCGCGCTGGCTGCACCTGAGCTCGCAGCTCACCACACCGTTTTGACACTCTGTCTCCCTCGCACTCGTGAGGCAGCCCGTCGGGTGCGAGAGAGACAGAGCGACGGGACGGCGTCCGGGCCGTTCTCACGCCACGGCAATGCCAATGCAGGGGGCTGTAAATTTCTTTGGCGTGTGCCTTGGTGCCTTCTTGTCTGCGCTGGCGTCCACTGCAGCAGCAGCAGCAGAATGTCCTTTCCCCCGACTTTCCCTAATCCCCAGCCGTGCTCCGGCACTGTCTCTCTCGCACCTGTAGGGGACGCGCCACGCGAGAGAGAGACAGTGGCGACTCCTCGGAGTCATCAGCCTGCCATTCAAAGACGACGACCCGGAGTGGGGGTGGCCGCCGCGTTCGCCGCGTGGGAATCCAGGGAGACGACGAGGACGACGACGAGGAGGAAGGGGAAGGCCGTTCACGCCGGCAGGGCCGGCAGGCACTTGCTACCTGGCGGGCCGTGCTGCAGAGTCGTCGCTCTGTCTCTGTCGCACTCTCGGGGCGTCCCGCACAGGTGCGAGAGAGACAGAGCGACGGAATGCTGGCCGCGGTGCAGTGGCTGCCTCGCGGTGATGCTGCTGCTGCCGCTGCGGCCGAGGCGGTGGGCGGGGTCACCGCGCCTCCCTGTCTCCCTCCAGGTGAGAATGGGAGGCGACGGCGCTGCGTGCCCGCCAGCCACCGCCAGCCCGCGAGGCTGCCGCCGTCAGTCAGTCCGTACGGCGGCGCGGAGAAGCACGCCCGCGCACCGCCACGCCGCCACGCCACGCCACGCCGCGGAGTACGTTCAACAAGTTCGTGCGTGATCACTCGGGCCGGGCGATTAACCCCACTCCACCCCCAGCGACCAGCACCGCTGCGGCAGGACGACGGGACGGGCCGTGCGCGTGTTCACAAATAATAATTGTTACGGCACGGGTTGCCCGCCGCGCCCCGCCCCGCCCCGGCGCCGTGGGACGCGCTAAGAAGACTGCCCCTGCTTCCGGCACGTTTCCGGCCTGGACTTGAACCCGCGAGGCGGTGAGGCCGTGGGGCCGTGAGGCGCCGCGGGCACGTTCGTGTGCGTGCCCAGCGTGCCCGGCGTGCCGAGCTCGGGGCCGAGGCCGCCGAGGCCGCCGACGCGGGGGATGAGCTGAGGTAGGTCAGTGCTGTCGATGTGACCGGTTGTGACCGTGCCGTTGCCGCCAGTGGCGTGCCGTTGGCGACGACGAGCAGCTGACTGCCCGTCTGGCCGTCTGCCCGGGGACTTGGCGGAATTCGTCCTGCAGGATGATGCTCGCTGGCGGCAACGGACTTGTTGTTGTTGTTGATGATGATGATCGGGGTGGGTGGGCACTTGGATTGAGTTTACGAAGGGTTCTTCACCTTTCAAAATTACTTATCGAATTTTCTTCTGCATGGAGAAAATATCGTCCACCATGCAGGTGTGTTGGTGCAGCCCACCACCGTAAGGCACAATTTCGGTTTTTCGCTTTTCAAAGTGGACTTCTTCCGCCTTTAACCTTGTGCTGAACGATCTGGGCTGCCGTTCTAACGGCGGGCTTCCCCTTCTCTGGACGCTGGGGGCGATCCAGAGTCAGGTGGCTTCTCTACTTCTCTCTCTCTCTCTCTCTCTCTCTCTCTCTCTCTCTCTCTCTCGCACTTTCACGGAGGGAGGGACGCCCCACGAGTGCGAGAGGGACTCTGCGACCTGCGCCCCGCAGTGCTTGTTTGTGTCGCGCGTCGCACTCTTGACCTCAGCGTGCGGTTTTATATCACTTTTGGCGTCGCTTGCCCTCGCCGTTCGAACGGCCCTGACTGCAGCATTCCGGCCGTCTGAGCGGGGCGGGGCGGGGCGGGGCGCGCTGACGTCCGCGGATTCGCGTCGTTTTCGCTTGCCGCCGCGTCGCGTCTCGCGTGTCTGGCTGCGTCCGCGGCGGCGCGGCGCCACCCCTCGCGACGGCGCCATGCTCGGCCATGCTGCAGACTGAGTCGTTTTCGTCGCTCTGTCTCTCTCGCACTCATGGGGCGCGCCGGGCGGGCGCGAGAGAGACAGAGCGACGCGTCAAAAGGGACGCGTCCGGAAGGCGCCGTCGCGCTGGCGTAGGGCAGGTCGGGCAGGTTCGGTCCGAGTTTGTTCGAACTTTGGAACGGAAGGTGACGCCGCGCCGTGAGTCAGCCGTGAGTCAATGGAGCGCGGAATCTGCAGCGACGCACCGAGCGCGCCCACACTGCAACGCGGTGCAACGCGCTGCATCGCCTCGGGACCTGCACTCCGTCCCCTAGTTTTTCAACAGTGCACAGCCGCGGTCCTGAAAGCGAGCAGCTCGAGAGTGACATTTTGAGAGCGGCAAGGAGGACTAGGGCCCCTTGCAGGCGGGCCCGGCATATGCATGAGATGCTAAGCGCCGTGTGGCGCACTGCGGCGGGGAAAGAGCGATGTCGAGATGCTGATGACGACGATGAAGGGAGCAGCGGGGAAAACCCCGAACATGCCTCACGAATTTCCGGAATTTCGGACTGCGGAGGCACATTCGCCATCCTTACTCTAGACGCGTTTTGAGCTCCAGAGTCGCTAAATAAGACTCGAACCGAACGTGTGACCCTACCAATGGATTGCTCTCCGAACGGGGAGTCCATTGGTGGGGTCACACGCTCGCTTCGAGTCCTGTTTGGCGACTCTGGAGCTCAAAACGCTTCAAGAATTTCAGCCGCTGACGCCGGTCTTCTGGCCCACTGCCGCGCTTGCTTCCTGCGCCATTTGCATCATTTGCATGCGTCGCCGCGCCGAGGAGAGGCGTCGCGGCCAATCCGGGAGCGGCCCCTCCCCCCCCCCTTCCCCATTGCCGCTTCCACCCTTTGCCACCCTTCGTCACTCCTCGCTCCACTCTTCCCCGCCCCGCCCCACACCCTGTACAGTGCAGCGACTGATCCCGAGATTCGTGTCCGTCGCTCTGTCTCTCTCGCACCCACACCGGACGCCCCATGAGCGCGAGAGAGACAGAGCGACGAAAACGACTCCCGCACTCCGGATTAGGCCGTCGAGTGAGAAAGAGCAAAGGCAAAGGGTTGGGCGGAGTGGTAGCGCGCCAATTCACTTCCACTGCTAACCCTGCGGGAGTCGTTTTCGTCGCTCTGTCTCTCTCGCGCTGTTCGAAGTGCCCGCAGTGTGGCGGTGTGGCTCATGACCGCCCCTTCTGTCCCGCAGGCCGCTGAGCCATGAAGGAAAAGAGCAAGAATGCCGCCCGCAGTCGGAGAGAGAAGGAGAATGCCGAGTTCCTGGAGCTGGCCAAGCTGCTGCCGCTGCCCGCCGCCATCACCTCGCAGCTGGACAAGGCCTCCGTCATCAGGCTCACCACGTCCTACCTCAAGATGCGGCACGTCTTCCCCGACGGTGAGTGCCCCGCCATTTCTCATACCGAAGGAACACCTAGCCGCTGGGTGAAGCCACAGTGGGCCGGAAGACCGGCGGGCGGTCAAAGTCCCGGACGCGTTTTGAGCTCCAGAGTCGCTAAACAGGACTCGAACCGAACGTGTGACCCCACCAATGGATTGCTCTCCGAACGAGGAATCCATCGGTGGGGTCACACGCTCTGTCCGAGTCCAGTTTAGCGACTCTGGAGCTGCCCCTGTTAGAAAAGGGAAAGTGCTACTGAGCCCTCCCGAAAGGCCGCCTCTCGCTCCGCCACTGGCTGGAGCTGGAAGTGGCTGGAGGCGTCTGGAGGCGTCCTCCACGTGGTGGTCGTTCCCTGGTTCGCTGTTCCCTGCTGCTGGGTCTGCTGGCTCCCTGGTTCAACTGCGCGCTAATACATGCCGGGACACGGACGGCGTCACAATGGGGACGGGGAGGGGGAGGAAAAGGGGAGGGGGGGGGAGATGCGTTCCGACAACGGTACACGCTCACGGCCCCCAACCTGGAAGCGGGATTCCAGGTGTAGTAGATGCACACCGCCGCCCCTAGTCCAGATAAATTCAAGGGGACGAATTCGAGGAAAATTTGCGCAAGTGATGGTTGGTTAGTCGTGAGGCCCGGGACGTTGAACGCTGGCACGACACCATAAGGGCCCCTTCGGCCGTACGCCCCGTTTTTGTTGCAATAATGGAAGGGAGCCCTCTCCCACACTGTCAAGAGAGACAGAGCGACGAAAACGACTCTCGGAATCAGTCTGCGCCGCTCAGCTGATCTTATGACGGCGCGTGACGCAACAGCAGAGCGATCGCTCCGTCTCTCTCACTCTCGTGGGGCGTCCCGCAGGGTGCGAGAGAGACAGAGCGTGCCGACCGTGGTGCGGCGCGTGCCTGGTCACCGCGTACGTGACGCTGGTGATGGCACGACGACCTTCCCTAAGGGAGGGGTGCCGCGGTGGCCTGCAGGGGGTGGGGGTGGGGGTGACTGGCAAGACGTGGGCAAGACGGTGTTCTAACGGCCTGGCACTCACCCCCCTGCCCCCAGACCGGCCCGACCCCACCCCCTTTGCAACTGCGGTCAGGCAAGAGGAAGGCGAGCAAGCAAATCTGGACGGGCAAAGTTTACAGTGGCGGAAACTGTCCCGAAGGAAAAGCACCTCCGAAGGGGCTGCGAAAACTTTGCCGAGGAGTCTGGGTCGACTACGGCGGTACTTATGCACGACAAATTTAGTCGGGATTTGTTACGCAATTGGCAAAATTTTCACTTTAAATTTTGTTTTTCCAGTGCCTTTGCTTGTTATGCCGGCACGTGCGCGCCGTTGTGCCTGCACTAAGTGTCTGCACAGACATGCCCTACATGTGCTGCACCGCGCCGTCCGCGGCGCGTCGCGCTCGTGTTGCAGCCGTGGCCGTCGGCCGTTTGCTCCCTCTGTCTCTCTCGCACCCCCGCGGGACGCGCCGTGAGTGCGAGAGGGACAGAGTGACGAAAGCGACCGCCATTTCGGGGTCGGCCTGCTGGCAGGGCGTGCAGAGCACCGTGCCGAGCACGCTTCTGGGGGTCACGGCCCCGTGGACGCCGTGGACGCCGTGCTCGTGGCGCGGTCGCGTGGTCACGACCCGTCACGATGCCATATCTGGACGGTATCGCCGCCTAGCCGCCCGCAGTAGACTTGTTTGTCACACCTCCAACGCCCTGCAGACCGATTCCAAGACTCGCACTGTCTCTCTCGCACTGAAGGGGCGTCCCGTATAGGTGCGAGAGAGACAGAGCGACGACAACGACCCTCGGAACCGCTGCCCTGCCGTACAAGGCGACGCTCTACGACACCCATAGACGACACCGCACCGGACGCGTCAGGCACAAACTGGGTGTGTGGGGTGACCGTTCCGTTCGTCTGCGCGTTCCTGGTCCAGAAAGCATAGGTCATTTTGACGGTCAAGAAGGGTTACTGTAAGCCTGCACTGTCCGAGCCTAGCATGCACCTGTGTGAACTTGGCCAAGTAGTAGCATCTTGGATTCGGGAGAGTTCACGGACATGGACATGACGTCCCTGCTTGATGCTTTCTGGCCCCCTCCCCCAACAACCACCGCCGTACCCTGCACTGCCCCGCACTGCCCCGCACCCTCTCGACCGCCGAACGTGTCCTCGATAGTATCGATAATGACGATCGATCGGGTCGCTGGAAAGGCGCAAAACAATAACTCGTGGTCCGCGCCGATCCGCGCGCGCGCGCTGCTCTCTCTCCTCTGCGCTATCTAAATCAGTTTGAATCAGTGTAATCGGGGAAGGACGACGGAGGGACCCGTCGGCCTTGTCTTGCCTTTTCACCGTTCGACCCGCAGCGTGGCGGCCCCGGGCCTCACCTACAAAGTGAGGGTGCTGAAGGAGGGGGCGCCCGCATGGCACTGTGGGAAGGAGGGTGCAGACGCGTCATCTTGTAGGACACTTGTCAGATGCCGGCCGGTTTTATAAAACAAATCAATTAGATCAGTCGATCGGGCGTTTTCGATCTTCGAGGGGACTTGTGTCGGCATAACCAGCTGACATGCCGCGTGAGACAATCACAAACGTTGTTATTGTGAAGGTGTTGGCGACGGGTGTCAAGCTCAAAACCACTCGCCATTCCATCTTGATTCCATCCGCACTTTGCAAATTGTGTGAAACCAGATAAACATATCAGGACGAGCCCAAAGAGCAAAGACCCATCTCCAAAATGTGGTCTTTTTGCTCTTTGGAGCCATCGAATTGGTTGTGTCTCTTCAACGGTGACCTTCCGTTTGCAGGACTCGGTGACGCGTGGGGGGCCGCACCTTGCCCCGTCAACCCCCGGGAGTCGTGCATCAAGGAGCTCGGGTCGCACTTGCTGCAGGTGAGTTTCGACAAATGCAATTACAACGTAATTGCAGAACAGGCCGAACACTTTATGCAGTGCAGCGACACTAACAAGCCTTTTTGCTGCTTCCAGACGCTGGACGGATTCATCTTCGTCGTGGCCCCGGACGGCAAGATCATGTACATCTCCGAGACGGCATCAGTGCATCTTGGACTGTCGCAGGTGGGAGATATTGTACCGTGGTGGTGGCCGCTCTGCTCGCGTCCCTTGCTTAGTTGATGTCGAGGGGGTGGTCTGCCTGGCTGGCTGAGTCTGGCTGGCTGCCTGGCTGGGCGACATCATTATCCCACGACCTCCTCGACTTGAGATTTCGGAAACCCCCACAGGCGCTAGTGGGCAAGTCTGTGGTATGACGCCGTACCTTGCCAATTTATTTCATAATTCTACGAAAATTTACGAATTTAAGCGTTGTTGGAGGACTTTTAGGACCTCATTGCGAAGTCGCCCAAATATCCTATATTTTAACCTTCAACAGAGAAACTGCCTTATACTGGCGCCCCACCCTGTTGGTCCGGTACTAAAAGTAGAGGTGCTTTGAAGTGCCTGCGCCAGCCTGCTGCAACTCTGCTTCTGGTGCTGCAGGTGGAGCTGACGGGCAACTCCATGTACGAGTACATCCACCCGGCGGACCACGACGAGATGACGGCCGTGCTCAGCGTGCACCAGCCCCTGCACACCGACTCCAACAGCCCGGGTAAGTCGAGCTGACGTCATCACTCCAGGACTCTTTTACAGTGGAGATTCTCATGGTGGGAATTCGCGGTGAAAATTCTCAACATTATGATGACAAAGTTGCCATAAAATGTTGAAAATTCAGCATGGAATGGCGAAATATCTCCGGACTAACCGAGCGCCCTTCCGGTTCCAGAGCTGGAGATCGAGAGGGCCTTCTTCCTGCGGATGAAGTGCGTCCTCGCCAAGCGGAACGCGGGGCTCACCACGGGCGGCTACAAGGTGGGTATTCCTTTCTCTTTTTATCCCGCCATTAACAACGAGAGCGCGGTATCAGCAGCAAACAACAACAACAAACGAGGGCACTGTGATTCGTGGGGCAGCGCCAAGTAATGAGACAGACTGTCAGCCCACTAATGTATGCACGGGCAGACCCGAGCACGGCGGGAAGGGGAGGGGGGAAGGGGGGGGGGGTTACCGACTATACACGGCACCTGTCACCATAGCCCGCCAGCAGCACCGTTCCTTTTTTATTTTTAGTTTTTACTGTCTCGAGGACGCGAGGGTGCGCGGCGCGAGTACGACGCCAACGTATTGTAAAGCCCGCATTCATTTTTTAAAAAGATAAAATTTAAAATATCCCGCGCTTTAGTGGACGGATTTGCTTTGGTCAGTCAAGTTTCCCCGGTCGGGCCCTTTCAAGTCGCCGGCGGTTTCTGAGGGCGGGTTTTCGAACGAACGGCCTTTTGTCCCGCCCCTCGCCCCTCCACCGTTAATTTGCTGACTAAACACGGGGCGTACGGTGAAGGGGCAGCCGGCTTCCAGCGTGCTTCCAGCGTGCTTCCAGCGTGCTTCCAGCGCCCCCTCTCCAGGGAACAACAAAACGGGCGCTCGAGGGTGCTCTGGAGTCTCCAGCGCGCCGTGCCGCGCTGCGGGAGCGAACCGTCAGCCACCGTGGCGTTGTTCTCCAGTCTCCAGTTCTCCAGTCCGCGCGTTGACTCCAGCTCTGCTCTGGAACATCCCCCGCGACGACCGATCCTCCCTCACCAGAAAACGCTTTGAGCAGTGGTTGCCCGATTCAATGAACGAAAGAAAATTTATTCGACGAGAATTTTTTCATCCCTTATCGACATTTTTTGCGTTTTCATTTTGTTTTCGCGGCCTGTTTCACTCTCAGTCCTGAGCCGGCATTTTGTGTGTTGCACTTGCAGTGGCGCGGACGATGCATTGACACAGCTGGGCGGGGCGGCGCGCCGCGCGGCGATCGCTTTTCAATAAAAAGGCGTCAACAAACAAAGTTTCCGAAAAAGAGAAAAAAATTGGACCCGCGAGCGATACGATGCGATGCGACGCCTCTGTAAACAGCGAAGTGCTTTCGCGGGGACGGAGAAGGAAACAGTGGGAACAGGCGGCCGCGGCCGATACGACGTAATAGTTAATAATGTTGTTGTTGTGTTCTGGCAACGTTCTTGCTGACGCTGCCGCTGTTTTGCCTTGTCGGCGCAATCTGGAGGGTCCGCCCGGCGCTGCCCCCTCCCCTTCCCCCTTTCTCTCCCCCCCTCTCTCTTCCTGCTTTTTGTCCCACCCGCATAGGCGCGCTGGGGTAGTTCTCCCGTTTCACAAATGTTTCCAGTATAAAGACCCTGTGAAAGAAAATGCTCGTTGTTGCTGTCCTCGGTAGAGACCCGCCTCTGGGCTGCGACCGAAGGGGTGAAGTAAAGTAAATTAAGAAACTCCAAATTTGGTCCAATTCGACGTTTTTGACTCGAAGCCGTTTACACGTGCACTGTCCGTCAAATGGAGATTCATTCAACGGGCGCGGCGGAGTGCATCGCGGCTCTGTCTCTCTCACGCCCACGGGGCGCTGCGTGAGTGTGACGGAGACAGTGCACCAGGCATGCGCTTCGCGATGCGCTTCGCGATGCTTCCACGCCACAGGCCGAGCAGCAACAACGCAACGCTTTGTCTGGCGGTGGCGCTCCGAGTAGAGGGTTGCTGGGTGGGTGGGTGGGTGTAGCACTGTTAGCTCGCGGAGGAGAGGGGACCGCGCCGCGCCACGAGGGAGGAGTCGCACCGGGCTCCTCCCCCTCCTCCCCCACGCCGCGCCCGCGCCGCGGACGACCAATGGCAAGCCGTGTATCTCTGGCCCCGGCCTAGGCCCCGCCGGCCGGCCCCGGCGGGCCCCGGTAGGCCCCGGCCCGGGGTCGCGGCGCGGCGGCGTGGCCGTGTGGCGTGCGCGTCGCGAGCGGCCGCGTCTCTCTCCCACTGTTGCGAATGATGCGTACCCGAAGGTGAAAATCAAAACATGCGCCAAAAATAGGCAAATTTCGGAGAATTTCGACTTTGCTACTGTTACACGTGCCACTACGGACTTGACTTAAACGCGAGTACGCACTACCCGCTCGACCTTGATCTTGTACCCCGCACATTTCCCAGCAGACTTTTGCGATTTGGATCTTGACTCTTCTCCCCTCCCGTTCCAGGTGATCCACTGCTCGGGGTACCTGAAGGTGAAGCAGGTGCCGACGGGCGGCGCCCCGTACGAGGCGTGCTACCAGAACGTGGGGCTGGTGGCGGTGGGGCACTCGCTGCCGCCGTCCGCCATCACCGAGATCAAGCTCCACTCCAACATGTTCATGTTCAGGGCGTCGCTGGACCTCAAGCTCATTTTCCTGGACGCCAGGTAATGCAGTGTAGGAGTGCCGCCCCGGAAAAGAATAATCCCATCATTTTTCAAAAGACTTATAAATTTAAAAAATCAAACTATTTTAATTATTTTTTTTTAATCTCCTTTTTGCTTTTTTTAGGGTGTCCCAGCTAACAGGATACGAGCCCCAGGACCTGATAGAGAAGACTTTATACCAATATATCCACGGCTGTGACATTATGCATATGAGATTTTCACATCACACACGTAAGTGCTCTGCGGGCGTTTGTCATCGCGCCCGGCCCGCCCGGCCCGCCACTGTCGGTCTGCCAGCGCTAAAGGCCCTCTGCAACTGCTCCCTGTCACTTTTAACGTCCGGGCCACGCCAAATTTACTGCCGATCCACGGCCGTATTTTTAGCCTCTTGCTGGATGCCGCCCTGAAAGTGGCTTTGTCCCCTTCCGGTGCCCTCGGCCCGCCCTCGGCCCGCCCCGCCCCGCCCCGCCCCGCCCCGCCCGACTCCGCCACCCCCTGCCACTTCCTGCGCCCCGCTATGCTGGTAGTTGCTATCGGCTGCTGCTGTTTGCTCAGCCCGTCATGTAGACCCTGCGCCAGCCCCTGTGCCAGAAGGCCGAGGGGCGCTGCGTCGCTCTGTCTCTGTCGCACTCATGGGGCGTGTCGTCTCGGTGCGAGGGAGACGGAGCGACAAGGCCCCCTTCGGAATCGGTCCACAGGCCCTGCCAGCGAGGGGCGCTCCGCCGCTCCGCCACTCCCCCGCCCTCCCTCTCTTCACACTTCTCATCTATCGATTGGGTTTCCACCCTTCCACATACACCCTTTCACTCAGCGGGCATTATCCCCTTTTAGCTCGCGCCTGTTTACCCTCGGCCAGCCCTGCCCCGCCAGCTCTGCCCCGCCTCACGCCCCCACCCCGTCCCCTTCCCTTTTCCCATAAAATCATACAACCCCATTTTTACCCCGTGGCCAAGAAGGGACGATTACGCTTTTAATTCAACGGTTTTTACACCGCGGGGAGCGCCTGCAGGTCGATGCGTAGGCAACTAGTTCGACACCGGAGACCGATCGTGGCCTAAGCGCGTTGCTACTATTCATATTGCCATTGCACTTGACCATAAATGATCGTTTTCGATTTGTGTTGCAGTGCTGTTCAAGGGCCAGGTGACGACCAAGTACTTCCGGTTCCTGACCAAAGGGGGCGGCTGGGTGTGGATGCAGAGCTACGCCACGATAGTGCACAACTCGCGGTCGTCGCGCCCGCACTGCATCGTCTCGGTCAACTACGTTTTGAGGTAAGCGCGCCGTGAGGCACCGCAGACTGATTCTGCGCGTCAGTTTCGTAACTTTGGATCTCTCGCACTCACGGGGCGTCCCATGGCTGCGAGAGAGACACAGAGGCGGAAACGACTCTCGGAATGAGTCTCTGCGGCGTCGCTTTGGTTGGCGAGCAGGCATGTAACGATCCGCTTCCCTTGCAGCGAGTCCGAGGCGTCCGACTTGGTGATGAACTTGGAGCAGGTGCGCGGGTCGGTGGCGCCCGTGGCGTCCTCCGCCATCCGCGAGGACTTCCGCGAGGACGCCTGCCTGCCGGCCCTGCCGCTCGTCGTGTCCGCCGCCGCGCCCTCGTCGCTGTCCAGCTCCGACTCGCAGGCCGCGTCGCAGGCGTCGCAGGCCGCATCGCCGCTGTCGCAGGCGTCGCCGCAGCCCTCGGACCTGGGCGTGCAGGGCGTGCCCGCGGTGAACCCGCTGGTGCGGCCGGCGTCGGGACCGCCCGCCAACCCCCGGCCGGCCAAGTTCGCGCGCCTCGAGCGCCTCGAGCGCCTCGAGGTGGCCACGGCCACCACCGTGGCGCCCGCGTCCGTGGCCGTGCCGGTGCCCGTGCCCGCCGTGGCCATGCACCCCGAGCCGCTGCACGCGCCGCCGCCCGCGCTGGCCGACGACGAGTACGCCGACTCGCTCGGGGTGGCGCCCGTGGCGCAGGGCGTCCCGCAGGGTGTCCCGCAGGGCGGCTACTTCATGACCTACGACGACGCCGCGGGCGTGCCGCCGCCGGGGCCGCCGCCGCCGTCCGCTTACTACCACCACGACCTGGCGTGGTACTCGGACCAGCCTGACCTGGCCATGCCCGCCGCGCCGCTGCAGCCGCTGCCCGTCCCCCAGCAGAGGCCGTACAGCTCGTCGTCCAGTTCCTGCTCGTCCACGGAAAGCGACGCCGTGGCCGCGTCCACCGCGCACGCCGGCAGCCTGCCGTACGCCGACCACCAACAGGCCTTCAACCTGCCGTGCCACTTCAACAACAACAACGTGGTCATGTCGCCGCCGCTAGGGCAGCACCTGCACCATAACAACAACAACAGCCACCACCATTCGTCGCACCATCACCACCACCACCATCTCCACCACCACCTGGACGTGGGGGTAGGGGTGCAGCAGGACTACCAGGACTTTGCCAAAAACGCGCTGCACCACCAGCCGCCAGGCTACACGAGTGTCATCGTGGACGCGCAGCAGTACGTCAACGAGTACGTGCACTAGTCGTGCACCCCTTCGTCCGACAATAATTTTTCACTAGGAAAACAATTAACAGAGCCGCGGGTTTGGCGCGGGGTAGGTCGCCTCGCGCCTTCTAGTCCGTCTAGTGCGGTTCAAGACGCCACGGCGACGCGGCGACGCGGACAGGTCGTGCTGGACCGCCCAGCATATCCCCTTGTCGATAAGAAGCTTGAACGGTGACCTCCGCCGCACGCGTCTGTCCCCCAGCATGCCCGCTCTAGCCTGCTCCACCAAGTTGGCGACCAGCAAGCCAGCAAGCCCAGCAGCGGAGACAATGTTTTGCTTGTTTCGCGGTGGCTCTGGCTTGTCTGGTGCCGAGTGGATGGCAGTGGATGGGCTGGGCGGAGAGGCGCATCGCGGCGGCTGCTTTTGAGGTCATTGGTTTTAAAGCAGTGATAAAACATAGCTATTTAATAGGACGTTAATTTTATTTCTTTTCCTACAAAGAGAAAAAGACAACATATGTGATGTTTTTTGCGGACGGGACTCGCGCACTGTATGTGCCCTTGGTTCAGGCGGGACCAGGCGTGGCCCCCGCGTAGCCTTATGGACTGTAAGAACCTCGCAGCTACCTCACTCGACGGCATGGCAGGCTTGTGGACGCGCGTTCAACTCGCTCCGACCAAAGAAAGAATCATTCATCATCAAATTTCATATCAAAGAGTACCTGAAGTCCAACTAGACGTAGCCATTCAGGACTTCCCTAACGGAAAGCCGGACTTCCGGAATCATATGCTACATATCTTCCATAAGCTGTTACGTGTTGTTAGTTGACGAGCGTATCTTGTATTTTTACGTACTTGTAAGTTTAGTTTCTTGTAGTGTTTTAACCAATTTTAACCAAAGAGGCACCATCATTCCTTTTTATTTTCAGTTTTGCACTGTTAGCAAATTGCAAAGAATGTTGGTCGCAATATCACTACTTCTACCGATGCAAATGTCGGGTAATCCTGTACAACCTTTGTGATCGCATGCCTGCCAACTTTGTCTTCGGATTCCGTTGCCTTGCGAGCAGGTCTGCGGCTTCCTAGTACGCCCCAAGTTTGACTTGTAAAACGTGTGCATTTTTGAAGTACTCCCGAGTAGCTCCAGAGCTAGCCGGGAGGTACTCCCTCCCTCTCACATTTCATGTGCATGTGCAGCTTGCAAGTCAAATGGGCTGCCTATCCGCAGGCGCGCGCCCAGCGTGTGGTTATCGAGCTAGGTTCCCCACCCACCGACACTTTCCAAGTTCGTTGCTTTAGGCAACGGGTGCGAATTCGTTAAATCGTCCACAATGTATGTGACGTACCTTATTACATCCATAAAAAAATGTATGTTCCTTAGTCATGTTTTCTTTTCTGTCTGAAGTAATGTGCCATCTTGAAGATAATAATTAGTCCCCATCACAATGTTGATATTAAGATTACCTTACTGTAAATATTGCCAAATGAGTGTATTGTGTATATAAAATTTGCATATACTGATTAGAGTGTACATTTTGTATCGTTTGGAGGTGTTAAGATTTTAAAGAATGTGATATATACATTACAATATTATGTCTTCCATTTTGAATTTCGCAATGTCTCTTTCTACTCCCATTGAACCCAATCATAAGAAAAGCAGTCATGAATGTTCGGTCTGATCTGTCACCTAACCGCCTGAAGGTAGGCAGCCCCTCGCCTATGTTCAGAGCCGCGCCGTCAAGGTAGGCCACTCATTCGGCACGTCACAAGGAAGACGTGCAAAACGAGGCATGAGCGTGTTGCCACGCCTGGGGGAAGTCGAACCAGGTACTTTTATTGGTTTTGGAATTTGAAACAAAGAAAAGGAAACATTGGAATAAAATTTATTTGTGCGTCAACTCTTATAAGACCATACCATACACTAAAAAAATTTTGTTGGTATCAAAATTGAAAATCATTTCTTTACTATTTATACTGGACCCTTTTTCACATATCATTCCTCCCGTCAAATAATTAGTACACTTTCACTGTGGTATTGTGACCTTAATAAACGGCTATTAGTATGAATTATGCCAAAACTAAGAAGGAATGGAAATAATACAGTAATGATCAAATACAGTCCTGTACCAAGAGGCACGGTAGAGCCAAAAGGCCAAAGCCAAAATCCACGTCGTGCAGCATCACGTACGTGGTGACTCATGAAGGCCGCCAAAAGTACCCAACCAAAAATTTCAATGTTGGTATTGCGTAAATAATGGGCTAAAACTAATAATGAAATAAACAGCACTAATGGCAAAGTAGAGCAGTGGAGAAACGGCCGTCTTGATAGTTTTGTAGCATCCTGTATCGAAAACAAACAAACAAACAAGGATGACACAAAGAGAACCAGAGAGAGAGAGAGAATTACTTCTTCAAAGAGATCATCAATGCTTGAGTTTAAAATACCTTCAGATGAAACGATCGGGCTGAGATAAAGTGATCCACATCAATGGCCGATGAAATCAGGGCGCACAAAATGCACTGAGCAAGTACTCTACCACTTGAGAATGCTCCTTTACCTAGATTGCAATGCACACTTATCCAAGTGAGAAATCCTATCACAGCATGTGTCATATTGTCACAAAGAGCTCTCTTCATATCGTCATGCTGATTCACTTGAACAAGTTTGTCCCCCAAAATAGCTGTCAGTCCTAGCAGAAGGCACCTCAATATGATGTAAGTATCCATTACACTTTGAAATTTTGACAATCATAACATGACAGTTTAAAATGCACAATTCAGTAGCTCTAACATAAACGAAGTTTGCGATTTTGCCACAATAAGGGGTGTTGCAGAGGCCAACTGGTCCATCAGCGTTCAGTTTTGGACATCTGTCCTTTGTAAAGCTAAAGAAAACATAACCTTACTCCAAGGTGTCAAATTAACAAGTTGCCAACACTTCAGAATTAATCTCGTGACTACATAAGACGTATAACTACAAAGTACTAAAACTGTAAGTCTCATATAAAACTGAAATCAATAACCTACATCATCCGAGAAAGTCAGCATGGTAAATTGTATGGTTTAATTTTTAGTTCTTGTATTAATTATAAACTGCCAGGTCGTCGGCATTGATGCGGAAGGGACCGGCAGACGACACGACAAGTTATGTTTATTTTTTCTAATCCTTACCTCATGATCTTGAAGAGTTCATCGTCCAAGGACCTCTTCTTTTGAGAAGAACACGAAAAGATAGTCAGTTTGTCGCTGAAAAGTCTTTCAACATTGAATTTCATCATGGAGTTTTTTGCCATAATTGGGCTTATTTACATTCTGTATCTTTTTGTGTATTTGGTGGTTTTGACGGTCGCGGACTGTGACCTACAACTGGCATGGATGGAAAGATTTGGTCATTCCATAGGTAACGTGTTAATTTTTTAAACTTATTTTTCTGGGTCTTTTTGTTTACATTGCTATAATGTCATGTGACTCCAAGGTACGTAAATTGACACCTTCCAACAAGCAATACTTTATCATTTTCAGATCAATTGAAAGGAAAAGTGGTGTGGATAACTGGAGCGTCTAGTGGTATCGGTAAAGCTGTAGCTATTAACCTTGCTCAGCATGGATGCAAGCTTGTACTATCCGCTCGCAACCGAGATGAATTGCTGCGTGTGCGAGAAATCTGCCTTGGTGGGTGAATCACATTTAAGAAAAGGTGAAGGTTTTATTAGAGTCCGACCATATTAGTCACATAATATTTTTTTGTTTGATTTAGAAAGAGGGAAAAGTGTTGGTTTGGATGCTGGAGATGTTCTGGTTTTAAAAATGGATATGCTAGAATATTCTAAACAGCAAGAATGCTTTGATAAAGTACTTGATCATTTCGGGAAGGTAAGAGTAAATTTGTTCAAAGCTTTTACAGTTGTCTATGATAAACCAGTGCTACTGATAGGTTCTTTTTTTCAGTTGGACATCCTTCTAAATAATGCTGGTCGATCACAAAGAGCTTCTTGGGAAACAATTGAAACTGCTGTAGATCGTCAGGTTTTTGAAATAAATGTGTTTTCTGTGATTTCTCTAAGTCGCATTGCACTCCAATACTTCCTGAAGCAAGGTTCCGGTCATTTAGCAGTTACTTCAAGTATTGCCGGTGTGCTTGGTGTGCCGTTTTCAGGGTCATACACTGGCAGCAAACATGCCGTTCATGTAAGTTCTACTACTTCTATCAGGCATAAGTACACTGTATTTGTTTGACTCATAATCTCCAATTTTACAGGGATTTTATGAAAGCTTGCGTCTTGAAAAGATGTCCAATCCAAATATTCGCATCAGTCTGCTGTGTCCAGGACCTGTCTTCACTAATTTTCTTGCTGAGAGCTTCACCAATAAAGACGGAGAGGTAATCATTCGACAAAATTATTAATCTATTGACTGTTTAATATTGTCTACCTACTTTAGCAGACACCTTCTCCTTTGGACAGAGATTTGGGCAGAGCACCTCACCAACTGACAATCGTATGACAGCAGAAAGATGTGCCCATTTGTTCGGTGTTGCTTTGGCTAATAATTTGGATGAAGCCTGGATGGCCCCCTTCCCCATAGTTCCAATGGCATATCTCTTCAATTATTTTCCAAATATAGCCCGTGGGTAAGTAGATTCACATAATAAAATATCAAATTACCCTAAAGACAGGGCTCAAATTAATCAATTTCCATTTTTCAGAGTTGCATATTTGATGGGTATCAATAAATTCCAGAAGTTGAGGGACAGTAGAGACACAGTGAATCAAGAGTCGTCTGCCTCAGTGCCTGAAGTGGTGGAAGGAAGAGGAGAAAAAGATGACTAGGACTTTCAGAGAAGTGATCCATAATAGGCTATGCAAAAAGTCCCTGACTTTTCTTCCTTCAATATAAAACAGATGAATTTATGTTTTCATAACACTTTTGGGAAGTGGAAATGTGATTGGCAAACATTCAATAAAAGAGAAAATTTTACTTAGCAAATATGTTTAAACAAAAGCTTGAACAAAAAAGGGAACCCTACTATATTTTAATAACATTTGGTATCTTCAGAACAGAATATATATGAATGAAAAACTTACATTATTTTACCACTTTCCAACTCAACTTAGATTGTCTTTGTTGTTCTTCTGTTGCTATTTCCTGCTCCAGCAATGCCACTCTCTTAACTCTCTCCTTTTTACCTCTTGCAATAGCTTCTTTGAAGAGGTCACAGTACAGCTGAATAGCTGATGGTGTATCATCATTTCCCGGAACAGGATAGGTGATCTAAACCATGAGGAAATGTAACCAGTCACTTTATGTTAGGCAATAGAGCAAAGTAAGACATTGCAAAGCGTTGATCCTTACCATATCTGGGCAGCAGTTTGAATCGACAATGGCAATGGTTGGTATGTTGAGCTTGGCCGCCTCGTGGACAGCAGGGTGCTCTTTTCCAAACTCACTTTGAGTCGATGGAAAGATCACAAGGTCTGGGGTTCGGCATTCCATTTTCTGGACTGATTTTATGTCTGTAAGTGTTCCCATTCTCCACGTCCTGGAATGAAGATGCAAAACTTAATTGGCATGCTGTCCAAAACTAAACTTTGAAAGAAAACTAATGGTAAAAAGAAGCAACATCAGTGACTGCATACCTGGTATGAGCAAACTCCCCACATTCTTTAGCAGTACTTTCTATCAAATTGGCACAGTGAGGTAGTCTTGCTACAAAAAGTATAATCCCATCTCTCAAGGCAATGTGTGCAGCTATGTTTAGAGCTTCTTGCATGTGATAATTAGAAATATCCAAATCAAAAATTACTTGATTTGACCTAATTCCATACACAAATTGTTTCATCCCCGGATCAAGAGCAGTTGCTTTATGACCATAATGCACTTTATGTTCAAAAAGGAGTTGTGGTGTACAAAGCTTCCTTACTCCAAAGAAGTCTTTGTGGTTCAAAGTATCATCTGCAATAAAATGTTGAATATATTAATGGGCTGACAGGTTGATAAAGTGAAGAAGAAATTAACTGTATCTTATAATAAAATACAGTTCATGGAGGAACGAACACAGTTACTTACCTACTTCAATATCCTGAAGCACAGTTCCTTCTGTGTCAGCAAAACTACTAGTTTCCTCATTTGCTGCTGCCGTTGAGGTTTCAACAGCTGAAGCAAAGCATCCTCTGACACTATGTATCATACGGGTGGCATGAGTACTCCGCAAAGAGAGAATACGTGCTGGTGAATAAAACATAACATTACAATCCTCTAGATAAGAAAAATAATTATGTGGATTGTAGGGCAATAACCAAATAAGAGATGTTCAAATGTTCCATTTACACAGCAGAGAAGACTGTCACATGGAACGAAAATAAAGTGATGTCAATCAACTGGCACTCTTACTCAAATGCACTACACAAGACATTAACTCATTTTTTTATAGCAAAATGTCCTTAAATTCCCCTAAATTATTTAATTTTTCAGAGAACTGTAAGAAATAAACAGACTGTCTGCTTTCTAACCTTCAAAGTTTAGGTTAGAGAGGACATGTTAGGTACTTAAGAAGTCCATAAACTAGAATGTCAGGTGTACCAGAACATAAAAATATAACCCATAATGTAAGTTGATGCCGAAAATGACAAGAATATACCTAAAACCAGTAAAAAATCGCACTTACAAGCAAATGAAAACAAAGTCGACGGCATCGCCATTTTGTTGGCAGTGATCTTTGTACAGGTCTACCAACCAAACAAAGCTCCCACCAAACGAGTTGAAGCGATGACCAAAAAGAAATGACACGGTTATCACTACCTTTTCCTCGGCACACAATATTCTCTGATTTTAATACCCGCGACAAAGAACGCTAAGGAACCTTGTTACGCTGATGTTGATAAAAATAATGTTGGACAAGCTGCTTAAGTGGAAGTCGAGCAGACAGCATTTTAACTGGACTTACCCCGAGTAGCAGAAAGCGCAGAAAGCAGGCAGAAAGAGCCAGCTGAGCCGGCAACACTTGTTGTCAGTCGCCGCAGCTGTCCTTGAACTTGTTTTCGTACGGTTTAGTAACCGACTCGACTCGTGGACTTTGAGGACTTTGCCGAAGTGAGCTCGGCGCCCCTTCCCGCACCACTGGTAAAGAACTCACCATGGCATCCCTTCACCAGGTAAAGAAATTTCAAGTGCCAGTAACCCCGACGCTTATCTTAGATTTGTTATCATCTGGTTATCATAGGTGCACCATTTCATTTTCATTGGTAACTTGGCTCATCCATTAACGCTTGATCAGTTGAGTTCAAGGTTCACCTATCTAATGAAGCTCTATGGTTCTTCTAAACATCACATACTTTTTTAATGGATTGAGTCTCTGGACATTATCAATGTATCTATTATTTCAGATCAAATTGTTGAAAACCATGAGGCCCTTTGGATCCTTGCGATTCAAGCACAGCTCAAATGTGAAGCTAAATGAGGTAGTCATCGTTGGAGCAGCTCGCACACCTATGGGCTCATTTTGCAGTCAACTTGCATCTGTCCCTGCACCAAAACTTGCTGCTGTTGCCATTAAGGTATAGTTTCTTTTTGGAATCATCTTGCCAGGATTAATCAAATTTTGAAATCAGACGGAAGAACCCCATTTAAGTAATAGGTGACGAGTAATAAATTTTGTTACAGGCTGCGCTAGAGCGTGCAGGTGTGCCAAAAGAAGAGGTGCAGGAAATATACATGGGTAATGTTTGTCAGGCTATGCTTGGCCAGGCACCAGCAAGACAAGCTGCTCTGTATGCAGGTAAATGTTGGTTCTTCTAGTCCCATTACCCTCTGACCATCTGGGAACTTATGATAATGTTAATCGTTACAATTGTGTGTTTCAGGACTTCCGAAATCAACAGCCTGCACCACCATTAACAAGGTGTGCTCCTCTGGTATGAAATCTATCATGCTGGCTGCCCAGGGCTTGATGTGTGGCCAGCAGGAAGTAATAGTGGCTGGTGGCATGGAGTCTATGTCCAATGTTCCTTTCTACATGAAGCGAGGTGACACTGGTTATGGTGGCGTCACTCTTCAAGTATGTTATTTCTCTAGGTCCCATATTGTTCCATTCTTTCATCTTTACTTTGTTCACTTATTTCATTGGGTTTTTTTTAGGATGGTATTGTGTTTGATGGGCTGACAGATGTTTACAACAAAATTCACATGGGTAATTGTGGTGAGAACACTGCCAAGAATTTGGGTATCTCCCGCAAAGATCAAGATGAGTATGCAGTGCAGAGTTACCATCGCAGTGCGGAGGCTTACAAATCTGGTGCCATTAAAGAGGAGCTTGTACCTGTGAATGTTCCCCAAAAGAAAGGTTGTAATTTCTACCCTTATCATGAAATGTTAAACTCTATTCCATGTTTTAATTTTTATCAACTTAACAGGCAAGCCTGATCTTGTTGTAAGTGAGGATGAGGAGTACAAGCGTGTGAACTTTGAAAAGTTTGGAAAACTTCCCACTGTTTTCCAGGTCAGTAGTACTTTTTAAGAATGAGGATTGCATGTCTAGATTTCATAACCTTGCATTATGCTTATATTTTAGAGAGAGGGTGGCACAGTCACTGCTGGCAATGCATCAACTTTAAACGATGGTGCTGCAGCATGCGTTTTGATGACCCGTGAAGCTTCTGAACGCTTGGGAGTTACACCTATTGCGAGAGTTGTAGGATTCCATGATGCAGAAACAGAGCCCATCGACTTCCCTATTGCTCCTGTTTTTGCTATTCCAAAGGTAATTCATCATTTAAATGTCCATTTAAAAAAATAAAATTAAAGGACACAGTTTGCATGATGTGTATTTTTTCTGCAATATATGTATGTATATATATTTTTTCTTCTTTTCTAATTTTTCAGTTGTTGGAACGCTGTGGTGTGAAACAGGATGAGGTAGCTATGTGGGAAATCAATGAAGCATTCAGTGTTGTTGCCCTGGCATGCCAAAAAATGTTGAAGCTGGACATGAACAAACTCAATGTTCATGGTGGTGCTGTTAGTCTTGGACATCCAATTGGGTATGATATGTGATGTGTTTAAACAAAATTATTACAGAGATAAGAGAGCCTTTGAAATTTGTCTTTGCACCTAATAAATAAGCAAGTCAATTTTTGAAACAATTAATCTGTTGTTTTTGTTTTTAGAATGTCTGGCGCCCGTATTGTCAATCACCTGATTTATGCCCTGAAGCCTGGCGAAAAGGGTGTTGCAGCTATCTGCAATGGAGGAGGTGGAGCTTCTTCCATCATGATTGAGAAACTGTAAGTGTTTGACGTAGATTGGCTGTGCTGTTTGTTTCTCTGCTTGGAAAGTCTCAGAAAAACATCACTGAATGTACCTTATTGATCTGTAAGAATTCAATTATGGAAGAGCCATATTGAATTTCACTGCCCGTGTTTTAACTGAGGCAGTTAAATATTTTTATAGGCATATATGTGTGGTTGAATGCCATAATCATGAACTGTGCATTTTGTGATACATTAAATTTTTATATCATTTCCCTTATATATTTTTAAATGCTTATCCCTATGTGGGATCTTTACCTGTTTCTTGCCATTTATCAGATTTTAATAAACTTTATTTTCATTTTTCATACATGCGTCACTTTTCAATGGTTTCTTTGCTAACCATCCATTAAGTACTAAGGTGATGTTGACCTCTTCAAATTTCAGACCTCTGGAATGCCCTCCAAATGGAAAGCCACGTCTCACATTGTACACTAAGGATCCTTGTCCTCTCTGTGATGAACTCAAAGTGGACTTAAAGCCTTTCCTTCATGAAGTTGAGTTAAGTTCAGTGGATATTTCAGCTCAGGGCAATGAAAGATGGGACAAATTATACCGTTATGAAATCCCTGTTTTATTTTTAGAAGGTCAATACCTCTGCAAACATCGACTAGACAAAGTTAGTCTTGAGAGACGGTTGAAACTAGTTAAAGAACACTGGGGTTAGAAACACTTTTGAAAGGCTCCTAGCATATATTATTAGAAGCAAAGAACGCTTGTACCAAAAGACTGAATCTTGAGCAATTGAATGCAGTATAAAGGAACACTGTTTTCATATCACATAGGTATCATATTTCTGTGTGAAAATAATGAAGGAGTAATTAAATTATTTTAGAAGCAAGTTAGTGACATTAAAGGATCTCTACTGGAACATGAGTTGGTTTCATTGCACATTATTTCCTCATCATTGGACAGTTTCATGATTGTTTTCTGTAATGTAGATGTTTCACAACAAAACCTTCACATAAATAGTTAACTTTTAAAATGGATGTGTTTTACATTCAACCTACAGAGTTGCTTTAAAAATAAATAATGTGGAATATTTGGTTTAAAAAAATATATCTTACTCACTGGTAAGCACTTTACATATAAATCTAACCCTGGAGATTAAGAACTAGTAGCTGGCTTTTTCATTCCTTAACAGAGGAAAATTCAATCACATTACATCTTTGGTACAAATAGAAAGTAACAAAATAGAAACATTTTAAAGTGTACGATTCCCTCATAGCTCCATGTTTGAGGTAAAACAACAATCCCTGCCAAAAATTCATATCAACATTTTTTTTTTCACCTCTAAGGAATTTTACCAGGACAGGAATGTGACATTCATCAACTTGTGCGGTGAAACAAAGTACACAGTACTGGCTGAAGTACTTCAGGAAGTCATTACTTGCCACATTGAAGAAAGAGATAAGCTGCGTATGCTTAGAAAGGCATAGTACAGTGATATTTTTAGAAGGGTCCATTGCTGTGCAGCATGCAAATACCAACGTTTCATTTTGACTTTGCAATCTTTCAGTTGCTCACTGAAGACACTACGTACGCACCATCGGGACATTACAAGGAACGAGGACATTCTGAACACACAAAAAAGATAACAAATAGTATAAATTTTTAAAGAGAAAAATAACTGGAGTAGTAGGTTTGTTGCCTTACCTGGCATGTGTCTTAAGGGTATGCTCAATGCCACGCATCAAATCATTGGTGCGGAAAATTAGAAGCATTTGCCTATCAACATCTTGAAGAACCCCTGTTATTTGGGGCAGGTACTTAGGAATCTCTTTCTGAAACTCATTCTTCTAAAAACAGAAAAAAAGAGAAAATTCTCATTCCATTAAAAAAACGTTCATAAAACTCATATACTTTGCAGAGGCGAATTTTGTTCCCTTACTTCATTATCTGTGAAATTCACTCTATCAACACCTGACATGATGGTGTCCCAAGTGCGGCCACTGACCATACACGCAAACAATGGCCACATCTCACCAACTCCAAGATTGTTACTGTGACTCTTCATTCCTTCCATGTCACTGTTCAAAATACTAAGCCACAGTTTCGAATATTCCCAACGAAAGTTGTTGGTGAGGTCCTGTTCAATGCAGAGAAACAAGGTATAACAAAATACTATCCTCACTAGATCCCTCTGGTAGAACTGAGATTACTTACTGCATACAATCCGTGATCCAGAAGAATCACCTCAACTTTATTATTTTTCACATTCTTCTTTACCAAAATGTTGCCTGGATGGGGATCACTATGAACAAACCCTTCACCAAAAATCATCTGCGAGTATAGGCATCCCAGTTTATGAGAAACCTCATATGGATCAATTTTATTGGCTTTAATATATGGCAGATCATTAACTTGGCCACCCTCAACGTATTCCATGGTCAAAACACGGTGATTGCTTAGGTTCCAATAAACTTTCGGTACCTATAAAATGTTTATTACATGTTCATACAATAAATAGCTTTAGTCAAAAGAAGAAAGGTAAAGAAATAAAAGATTTTAAATACTTTTAGCCAGGGAAAATGTTTGAACATAGTAGCTGCTTTTTCAGCATTTTCTGCTTCTTGTAAGAAGTTTAGTTCCATGGGTATATTGCGTTTCATTTCTGTGACCAACCATTGAAAACGGAAGTCTGGAAATACCCATTCAACAACCTTCACTAGGGCCTAAAACATCGATAAGTAATCATTTAGTGACTATTTCCTAGCAAAGTACAAGCACTAAAAGTTTCATAAATTTCAGTTTTACTCACTTCCATTGTTTTCATATCGACTGTAGAGTTTCCTTTGATAAAGGGGTGTTGCACCTTGACTGCAACTGTAGTTCCATCTTTTAACTTGGCTTTATGAACTTGTGCTAGAGAGGCTGCTCCAAGAGGTGTTGGTGAAAAGTCATCAAAAATGTCATCTGGCTGTATTAATGATACAGAAAATATGATAAGAATAGCATGCAAAGATAATTTTGAAAGTGGAGGCTCATGTAAAGATAACTTACATCACATTTCAAATCTTGACGGAGCACCTTTTGTATTTCTTTAAAAGAAGACGTTGGAGCTTGACTGTGTAAAACTTTCATTGTTTCAACATATTCATGAGGCAAGATGTATTCAAGAGCTCCAATGTGTTGACCAACTTTTACAAACACTCCTCGATTAGCACAACACAGTTCCAGCAGATTTTCTGCCGCCTTTTTGTGAACCTGTGAAAAAGTTTGAAACATTTCAAAACAATGTGAATCGATATCACACTTACAGCATGCTACTAAAAGAAGCATTAAAATTTTATGTCAGTACCACAGATTTTAATTTTAAAAATTCTGGAGAATCTTGGGGTAAATTACTAGAGTAAAGCTCTGTTTTGTAAACATAAGATATTTTAAGAACCTGTAAAAGAGAATTCAATCGAATAAAAGTGTCAGAATCTTGTCTCATAAGAAACCAGATTTTATAAATAACTACAAGGTTGAAGTTGAAAGAAAAAAACACTTACTGCGGCAGCAGCTCTACTTAACCGGACTACTCCAATGGAATCAATGTTATACTCATTGGCATGCAATGAAAACGCTGTGGCTGTTAATGATCCACCTACAGCAGCATATTTAAGAATTCTCCTGGCTGGCCACATGGTCACCTTTCAGTTTAATACTTAGGAGGAGTTGAAGCAGCAACCTTGTGCAACTTAACCTATGCCTGGGGGACTAAAACTTTATTTCACGAGACACCTGGGAAATAGCATCTCACACACGCTTAACAAGTACAGTTAAAAGGCCTTGAAAAGTCAGAAAACTACACTCCTTTCTAATTTAACAGGAAATTTCTGCATGAACTAAACATTTTAACTAGTAGAAATGATGACAGAAGAGTTCAGGTAGCGGAAGAGGGCGGACAAGCAGACGAAACTTTGGACTGGACTTTGACCGCAGATTGACCGCATTATTTCCGGAACCCAAGCCGTTTCCGTACATTTATCGCAAGTTGCCGCCTTTTCATTTGATGAAATAAGATTTGTATTTTGAATATTACAAATAAATTCTGGTTCAGCTACATCAGATCCGTCAAAATAGATGGATGCGGGAGCTAGTTTGATGAAATTAAGCCGTTAGTGACTGATATCTGTAAAATATTTTAAGGTGGTCAGCAAAAGAGCACTGGTAATTCCCTATGCTGTTAGTAAGTAAAATTTGTCCTAGTGAGAAATCATGATTTATTTTGTCAGAACAAAGTAACAATATTCACAACGTCCTTTTTTTCTGATTAATAGATGGGGAAATCTGAATCTACTTTTCTCGCCCAGGCATGCAGTCCTCCTGTAAGATCTCGTACTGCAACATTTTGGTCTTTCAAAACTTTCTCTAGCATGAGAACAGCTTTCTGCGAATCATTCCCCCTTCTACAAACAACATAAACTGTAGGGGGAGAGGAAACAAGATAAGATAAATACATGGATCGTAGGGGAAAAAAATTAAGAATGGTTTATGGGTTTTTACCTGGGAAGGGATTCTGTTCAGCTTGCTTGTCCTGAAGTGCGGTTATTATCTGACTAACAGAATCAGGCTCATCAATATTCTTTAAGGGAATGTTAAGAGAACGAGGTACAGCACACATTTCAAATTCTTCTGGACTACGGACATCAATCAACAGACCTTCACATTTTGAAACAAATGAATCAAATAATGCTGGCGCATTGATTCTCTGCTCTTCCCTTAAAAGACAAATACTGCTATCCTGTAGAGAAAAATGATAAGATGCAGCTGGTAATTTTTCAGGAAAGGAGAGACAATTTAGTAAAAGTAGTAGGAGTCTTTGGCCTTACTTTGTCTGTGGCTTTTGCACCACAGAATTGTTCATAATCTATGAGATGAGAAATCTTAGGATTCTCTCCACACACATCACAGCTTGCATTTCTTGTTCTTAAGCGGACATTACGAAAGGCACTTGACTCTGCACTAAAGAGTAAAAGCTGCCCTGATAGGATGCCAGAACAGCCCAAAACAATTTTAATAGCTTCTAATGCCTCCAGTACCCCTACAACTCCTGGGACTGTAAATTACAAAAGAGACTCATTAACACTTATCAAACCCAGTACAGTTTCCAACCCTTCTTCCCTCTAACATCTAATTCAGTACAACTGTGTTTCACTGATGGAACAAACCTGCTCCAAGCACGCCACCATCTCCACAGTTGGTTACTGTTTCAGGTGGAGGTGGCTTCGGAAATATGCAACGATAACAAGGCCCCTTGTTATAATTGTACACAGTTAATTGACCCTCAAGCCTAAGGGCTGACCCTGAGACAAGAGGCTTTCCAGAAAGGACGCATGCATCATTCAAGAGGTATCGAGTTGCCACGTTGTCTGTAGCATCAATAACGATGTCATACTTTTGTACAATATTCAAAGCGTTTGAACTGTTGAGTTGAGTATGGTATTCTGAAATCCTCAAACTGCTGTTCAACCTGAGCAAAGTTAAGACGCAAATATTGACAATGTGCTTTGTAAACAAGCTACACAATTTTTAAAAATAATAGAGATGCATTACTTTTTCAAAGCTATGGAAGCTGAGGTAACTTTAGGCACACCAATGGAATCCTCTGTATGTAGAAGCTGACGGTGTAAATTACTACACTCAACCTCATCATAGTCAACCAAACCAATGTGACCCACTCCCGAACCTGCAAGGTACTGAGCTGCTGGGCAACCCAAACCACCAACACCAACTATAAGGATGCTTGATGTTTTCAATGCCATTTGTCCTACAAAAGTTTAGAGAAAAAGGCGCCGTAATCAGTTTTAAAAGTAATTCTAGCAATAGACTTTTAGTGACATGCTGAGAACATAGGAGACTGACCTTTACATCCAATGGCTGGAATGATTATCTGCCTGCTAAATCTCTCCACATCATCCTTCGACAATTTGTCAGGAGAGCAAAATGATGCATGCTGTTCATTGGCTTGCTGAAAAAGAACAAGAGACAGCTATTTAGAATTGTAAGGGAACACAGTGTCATCAAAATTTTTATCTCCAGAGGCACCAAGAAACAATGCTGAAACAATACAACATTAATAACCTATCAATCATGCTTCCTACCAGTGCTCTTAGTTCTTCCTCTTTGCAACGGAGAACTTCCTGCAAATAGGCTATCTGTTTTTCCAAATTTGAAATTTTGTCCATCTTGTGAAATGGCTATTGGATTAAAATACCCAAATGTGCTGTAAATATATCTGTTGAGCAGAAACAAAAAGTTTCAAAACAAAAAAAGTTGACTGCTAGATTTTTCATATGGAAATATGAAATTCTCATACATTGTGACTCACCGCCTAGACATGCAAACAGCTGGTCTGTACACAAACAAGTGTCATCTGTTGATACTTCATTTTAAAGCATTTTAGGTGTATATTTCGTGATGCTATTGCAAAGCATCCACTGAGGGATTGAACCCATCGCCTTTTTCTCTCAAAGGTAATTTGTATTCTGTTATGTTAATTATTATCAGAGCTAGTCGCATTCGTCTGTCCTGTCACCCACTTCACCAAGTGACTCAAAGTGAACAATCCCGGTGAAATAGGCGAACCTGGCCCTAGCTTCTATGTAAACCTCTTTCATACACACGTGGGAAGATTTTGATGACCTCATTGATAAATAAAGAATCGTTCAGGTAACTAACTTGCGTTCAATTTTGAGGTTACGTCCGGAGTGTATGACGCAGGTTAAGGTTTGATAAGGACTTCAAATCGACCGCATCAGCTGATAAGCTGATAAAGGCCGTATCTCTAGTCCAAGCCCGTTTTTCTTCCATCCAAGCACAAAAGCTATTCCATTTTATTTGGATGTTGGACCAAAGGATTTAAATTGTGCAGAAACACACTGGTACGAATTAAGTTATTGTTTTACATCGTGCTGTATGTGCTGCTATTGTAAATGCTTTTTGGCGCCCACATTGCTTGACATCATAACATATTGTTGAATTGATTAGCAGTATTCTTCTCTCTTAATATGGATTGGGTACTGAGCTGTATGACTGTAAATTTGCTGTTTGTTTCAGACAAAATGGAGTCGCATGAGAGAACCCCCCAACAACTGGACTGGGAGCGTTTTGGCTTGGATGGCAGCCGGAATACAAGTACGCATCCATCTTATGAGTCCCTTTACAGTGCTTTAATTTAGTATATTCAAAACGTTAAATTAATTCTGTTCTTCAGCTCGCAGACATAGCACTAGTCGTGAAGAGAATCGAGGCCATGAAACTGAATATCACTATGGACATCAGCCATCTGATGCATCAGAAATTTTTGCACAAGAACATGTAAAAGATTTATATATTTTAGAATAGTTATTCTGCAGTTGCAATTTTTTTTTCAAATATAAAGTTTGGTTTAATATTTTCAGGCTGATCAACCATGGTGGAAATCTAACTTCTTTATTTCACAACCTGTACTGTTCGGAACATGGGATGGTGTATTTACATCATGTTTAATTAATATTTTTGGGGTAATTGTGTTTCTGCGATCAGGATGGCTTGTAGGGCAAGCTGGTGTAATAAATGCAGTTCTTATGGTTCTAGCCACAGGTAATAATTTATCAATTGCAGCAATTACCTTACTATTTTACTCCATTCAACAATTAAATCCAAATTTCCTTTCCAGTTTTTGTTGTCTTAACATCTGTAATGTCTGCTGTTGGAATTTGTGAACGTTGTCGCATGGAGAGTGGGGGTGTTTATTTCCTTCTCGCTCATGTTTTGGGCGCTCGCTTTGGAGTAGCTATTGGTCTCCTCTATGTATTTGGACAGGTAAGGTTTGGCAAAAGAGCCATTGTTTAGCTTCTTTTTTTTTTTCTTCAAATGTTTGAGTTAAAGCTTTTTGTTTAATTTATTGTTTAGAATAATTAATTATTGCTTATTACAGGCTGTTGGTTGTGCACTGTATGTATTGGGCTTTGGAGAATCTTTGGCTGGTCTTCTTGGACTAGAACAATCACCATGGTCAGAAAGAGGCCTAGCAGGAGCAGCTGTTATTCTTTTGGGAGCAATAAATGTTGCTGGGGTGAAGTGGGTTGTAAAACTGCAATTTGTATTGCTCCTTGTTTTGCTTCTGGCTGGCCTTGACTTTTCTGTTGGCAGTTTTGTTCATGTAGATGAGGGTAAGTAAAATTTAATTATATTTTAGTAAATTTGAAGTCTACTTGGTATTTGGTAGAATAATAAACTGTACAGTAGTAGTCCTGAACATCAAACATGTCTTTCATTTGTGTTTTCAGCAAATGGGTTTGAAGGATGGATGTCAGGAAACCTGGCAAACAATTCTTATGCAGAATACTATGATGGCTACAGCTGGTTTACTGTATTTGGTGTCTTCTTCCCTACTGTAACTGGAATAATGGCAGGAATAAACATGAGTGGAGATTTGAGACAACCAAATGTCAACATACCAAATGGCACGATCGCTGCTGTTGGAGTAGGGTAATTCTACTTTTTTCTGTCCCAATCTTGTCAAAAATCATTTCTTCCTTATCAAAATTACTAAATTTTTTTTCAGCACATTCCTGTACCTAACATTTGTCATAACATTGGCATCAACATGTACAAGGGCTGCTCTTCAAAGTGACTTCATGATTGCTTCAAAAGTAGCTGCCTTACGTGTGTATCATTTCCATGTCAATCCTCCTTCCCTTGTTTTCTCTCAATTATTACATTTAGCCTCTTTTTTCTGTTTCTCTTTTCATTTTAGATGTTCCTCTATTGATGGGCTTGTATGTGTCCTCCATGTCAAGTTGCCTGGCAGCCATGTATGGAACCCCTCGGGTGTTACAATCGATTGCCAACGCAAATGTTGTTCCCGGGATACAATATTTAGGATATGGAGTGAGTGCTGATCAGAAACTTACACAGAAATTTTTTTTAATCATTTGGAATGTTTGAACTAAATGTTTGCGTTTTCTTTATAGCGTGGTCCCAACAAGGTGCCCATCTATTCAATGGCTGTAGTTGCATTCGTGACCATTACTTTCATCATTGTTGGCCAAATAAACACTCTTGGGCCTGTTGTCACAATGCCTTTTCTACTGACATATGCAGCTGTTGATTACTCGTATTTTGCTTTAGCTCAAACCTTTGATATTCGTTTAAAACGGGAAGAAAGATTCAAGTAAGTTGAGACAAGTCTTCTCATAGTATGTGACATCCCATACTCTTCTATAATAATGTATCCCGCAATGATTGTTCCAGGTGCAATGAACAAAGTCCGACCTTTGAGTCTAAGGAAGGCTATGGGACTGGCGGCCATGATTCTCGCAATGATTTACATTATCAAAATGATCTTGACAAACTTTTCCCAGAGAGGTTGCATCACAAGAAGGGAACTGTAAGTACTTATTTATTTTTGTTTAATTCCCTTACCTTTTTTTCCCCAACAAAACTTGCCTTTTTTTCTGTAGGGAAGTCATGCTTCAGATCACTCGAGTGCTCTTTCATCACCTGAAGACACTGTGAGCGTGACCGGTAGTGCTGTCACTGCTGTAGAGGTGGGAATTGTCCTACCTAAAGACTCCAAGCAGACAAACATCCACTCCAAACCTCATAATTGGTATTCCAGCCTTTGCAATCGCTGGGCATCTCTCTTTGGGGTGAGTAGCTCTGAATTGCTGACAATTGTTATTTTCCTCAGGTGTATTGCATTCCTTTGTTTGTATTTCCGTGTTTCATTTTAGGACAATGTGGAGGTAGTACTTATTGTAACTTAATTCTGTCATTCATTTCTCTCTGTCTTCAGGCCGGGCTGAAGATAGGAATGATGTTCTTGGTCCATTGGGGTTATGCTTTAATGAACCTCACTGTTTTATTCATTGTATGGTTTTATATCGGACAAGTTAATCCAGCTTCAAAACCAGGAGTTTCAGCGGAGTTTAATTTCTTCCGCTGGCTGAAACAAGTGATATGGCGTGCTATGGGGTAAGTCTCTCTGTGTTTCCTTTTCCACTTTACATTGTAGGATAAGTTAGTGATGAACACATACAACATTGTCCTGCTAGTAGCGTTTCTGTTACAAATAGGCCTTCTATAGTGTTAAAAATTCTATGAATCTCACTTAGGACTTTGAGGCCGCAGGCAACAGGCCACAGGCCACATTTTCTATCATTCTATCGAGATGATACTACTTAAATTTGCTTATTTTAAAGCAAAATTTTAATTAATTTATTTTTTTGAGCAGGAAACGGGTTCAAGAATATGAGCACATAGTAGTACCACCTGTGTGTCCTGGTGTTGAAGTTCATTCAGCACAACTGAATGAAGATAATGAAGACTTTGCTTCTAGGCGAAGATACCATCAATCTTCAACAGTTCAAGGAAGATTTGTTGATGTTGATGAAGACTAGGAAAGAAAGAGCTGATGAAACTGGTCGAGTAGTTGGTGCAGCTATTCCACTTTTCCATTTTGAGCTAATCTGAATGAAATTACTTACTAAGCTACTGACAACTTGTTTGATTAATTCCCCTTGTATCTGGCATTTTTATTTTATTCATTGTAAGTTGTCTATCTTCTTCTTTTAAAAAAAAAATTAATGTATGATGTCATTGCGGCTGGAAACAAAATTTTAGCAACAGGAATGCCTCATATCATTTATGCTAGGACAGTCTTTAAATGGCATGCACTTGACTGAGATTTTCTCCCTTAAATGAAGTGGGGTACCTTTTCACTTTTCCCTGAGCCATCCATGGCTTGCATGGGATGTATTTGAAGGATTTGATTTTACTATTTTACACTGATGTGCAAATGGAATTAGTGAACTTTGAATCATTGAGACATTTAAATTGTGCCCAATGCTCTTGTGATAACATAGTGGTTTTCATTTTATTTATTTTTTAAATATTGAAAGATGGGTGGGTACGGGTAGGAGGAATCAATAGAATCATGAGAAAAATCTTATCTTCCAGGTAAACAAATATGTATGCACTGTTAACTTATTGATTGTAGCAGGTAATGTCATGTACCTACAAAAGAAATCATGTGACTCACAAAGGACTTATGAGCCAAACCTCAAAGTGCCTCAAAGTCAGTGGAGACTTCTGTTACAATACTACTCCCTTCAAAACATCACAGACCTTAGTATGGTTTTATATGAATGTGAAAATCCTGTCATTGTTTATGTTCGAAAGATGTTACATGATTTGATTTGACTCATGCTGCTGGCAGGCCACAATAGTTTCCTTGATTGTTTGTTGATTTTTTTTTTTTTTTTTTGTTGTGGTCTTTATGCCCTCTTGAGATACATTTTTTTAAAAACAATGAAACTTCCACAGTATGTACCTTATTGTAATAAGTATTGAAAAATTCCTACTTCATGTTGTACCAAGGATGCTGTTTTGCTTTGCTACACCTTACTTTCCATGTAACTTTTGTTAAGTACGGCTGAGCAAATTTTATTTATTCTTGTACTGTACATATGCACCCCTTGTTTCTATTTATTTTCATATGAAAATTCTTTGTGTTGTGAAAAACTTCCGACAACTGTAAAGTTAATTCAAGGCATACTATTATCTAAGTACAGTATTTATACCGCCACCAATGAATTTATTTTTATTTAAGTGTGATAACATTAATGATGTCCATCATTTACAATTTTGCTTATAATTCAGACTGATATCCATGGACTTAAAAATTGTCTGACTAAAACGTGTAGTAGCATATTTGTTTTTCACCAAAAATATCTATTTTCATACTACTGAATTTTTGCTTTGCGTCAGTATTGATGGCAGTTGTTCATTTCAATCAAGTATTGGCATACAGATCAACCCTGTCATATCATATGGCAAATTGTAACTGTTCTTTTCCTGTTGGTGAATAGACTTCAGATACTTTCGCTCTTGCTGGATCCAGAATGTGACAGTACTATTATAGTGGCAAGGAAGCACAATTTAGCATACGCTACATGAGAATTCAACTGTACTCTGTTTCTTTGATTCTTACTACAAAAAGTATGTCAGTTGGCCCTTACTTGTTGAACGTAATTTTATAACTTTATTCTGTGTACTAGTGATTAATTAGGCCCGAAAGCCTATTATGAAAATAATGAGTGTGTATTGGCACATTATTGAATTCTAAGGACATTAAACCCTAACATATGAAATGTCACAGGCAAAATGGCACATTATTTAACTTGCATGTTGATGCTCCTCAGTTTGGGTTCCAAGCAGATTAATCTGATCGCAAGTTCAAGTATTATTGCAAATGATGACTAGAAAGAACACTGAGAAAAAATGTTCATTAAGTTCCTTCTGTACCTGCAATGAATTTCAGTGGGAACACTTTTCTGTTGCTCTCTGTACCACAGAAGGTGTACTGTGCCATTCTGTGAGAGGGTTGTAAAGTGTGCATTAAATATCTACAACCAGCCAATTTTTTAAAAAAATTTAAACAAATAAAAACATTTAATTAATATGGGATACATCTGTGTTATCATTGCCCAAAGTCTACCCATCAGACATCAAAGACATCAAACTTTCACATCCTTTCCAACGGCCTCTGCAACACTTCTATATCCATCAGCACTGAAGAAAGAAGAAAATTAAATTAATAAAATAAAGGTCATAAGTGCAAAATATCATATTTTGTATAAAACTACAATTCTCTTTTGGATTACCTTAAGAGGTCACTCAACTCCTGTTTTATTTTTGTAATTCTTGGGGGTCCATGGTAGATATAAGCGGTGTAGAACTGTATGAGGCTTGCACCAGCTCTTATCTTTTCATAAGCATCCTTGCCAGTAAATATTCCACCAACCCCTACAATAGGGACTTTACCTGTAAAAACAGGGCATAGATATCACATTGACAGTATTATTCATCTGAGTAATTTGATGAAACATTTTCAAAGCAAGTTACCTTTAGTTAAAACGAACATATCTTTTATTAAACCCGTTGATGAGACGGTCAATGGCTTTCCACTTAATCCTCCTTGCTCTACCGCAGCAGGACTTTGAAGATTTTCTCGAGAAACTGTGGTATTTGATATTATCAAGCCATCAACCGCACACTGCAAATTATTGAAGGTATTAATGCCAAATCTTATTAGAAATACAGTGACTATTCATACAAACGAACTCTGAGGTTTACCTCCTTTCGGGAAATGACTTTAGCAATATCTTTTCTTTCTTGCTGGGTCAGATCAGGAGCTAACTTTAAAAGAAGCGGGGGTTTGTTCGGTTGAGGTAGTTTGTTCTTTGCCGATACTAAAGCTGAGAGAAGCTCTTGAAGCTGGCTACTGTGCTGCCAGTCTCGAAGACCAGGAGTATTGGGGCTAAATTCATGCAGCAGAAAATTTTAAAAATACATTAAAACATTGATATTATTGCAAAAGAGTGCAAAAAGCATTGACAAAGGTAATAAACGAATGAATATACCTGGATATGTTAATTACAAGATAATCTGCTACTTCTCCAAACATTTTAATACCATCTATGTAGTCCTGCACAGGGTCATTCGATGTTTTATTTTTACCAAGATTGACTCCAATAATGCAATCAGTTCCATTTTTTCTTAAGACCTGAAGTCGTTCATAAACAGCATCATGGCCATCGCTGTTAAAGCCATATCTAAAGAGCATATGTAAACATACATTTACATTAATCATGATAAGGAAAACAAAATTGAACTTGATGAAAAAACAGAAATTGAAAAAAACCTGTTAATGACAGCACTATCTTCTGGTAATCGAAAAACTCGAGGCTGAGGGTTGCCTGGTTGGGGGATAGGCGTAACAGAGCCAATTTCTACAAATCCAAACCCAACATTGTGCAAACCATTTACAGCTTCACCTTGTTTATCAAAACCAGCGGCCATACCAACAGGATTAGGAAATTTTATATTCCAAACATTGGTTTTCTGAAAAACATTAAAGCCAAAAATGAATGATCTTTGTCAGTAGAACAGAACAAGATCACACAGTACACAACTTACCAGGCATTCAGGATCTTTAAAGCGACTATGTGGAATCAAGTTGAACTTGGATGCTTGAACAGCAACATTGTGAGCCGTTTCAGGGTTAAGGCGGTGAGACAGTGGGATAAGAATATCATCATAGAACTTTTCATTCCCATGGTAAATATTGTAACCAGCAAAGACAAAGGTTCCACCAGAGCAGACAGCTGCCATGGAAATTAGTTGCTTCTATTGGCAAACAGAAAATGAAATTATGTAAGAACATAAGACACTAAAAAAGGACCATTTCCACTAAAATAGGACCTGTCCATTTCAGAATGAACGTAAACACTTACAACGCCTTTCTTCATCTTCAACGAGAGGAATAAACAAAAGAAGAGAAGATATTTGCTTGGTACTATTTCTATTTCTAAGCCTGAATACGGTCACAGGCACAGTGTTAACAAGTGATAACTTAACCTAAAATACGGTGGGTAGTCTAAAATTTTTGAAATAAAAAGAAGCAAGGACACCTAAGGAACACTGCAAGAGAAAAACCGTATTCGAAAGCAACTTCTCGCAAAAGAAAACTTGAGAATCAAACTAGCAGGAAACAAAGAGGCGAGTTGTGTGTGCTTGCGACGCGTAGTTGAGGTCGTATGTTTACTCCACGCTCCTTCCACACACCACCACTACCACCACCCGTGGTCCTCGGGAAATTTCTGCCAAGGTTGCCTTTCATCTGAGTTCTTGGAGAAATAGCTGTTATGAATCTCAACAATGTGGGCCGTGGGTATTTGTTTAAAAAATACTTTATCATGTGTAGCTAATTTTTCGTGGCAGAAGACATTAAAACAACACTGATAGAAGGGAAATTTCACGTTTGGTGTCACACCTGTCGCTGTATGCTGTCTGCTAGCCGGGCGGGTTGTTGTGGTTGATTTGTTGTGTGTCACGGTTTCAGATTATTTTGAAAATCTTATTTAATTTCGTTACTCCAAAAAATAAAAATGGCTTTGTTTGGTGAAGTGGTGGAACCTGTTTCACGCTCGTTATACGTTGATGAAAGCAGTGACGAGGAAGATGCACAGGAAGAATCACTTGCGAAGTAAATATGCACATAACCAAAGTGCCTCCAATGCAGTTTGGCTAGTCACTCTCGTCCGGAATTCTAGACTAAATGTTATATTTCCAGTATGATTAAGTGGAATAATTGTTATTTTCAGGACAGGGACTATTCAGTGGGTAGATGAGGCTTCCTCAAGCATTGATACGTTGCTTATCTTTCATGGTCGATTGGCTGCCGGTAAGAGTTCAATTTCTTTGTGTTTCTTGTTATTATAATCTCTCTCTGTAAAACTTTTGATTGATTTTATATTTCTGTCTTCAGATTTTCTTCTCAAGATCTTGCATGGAACCAAGTCTACTAAAGCTGGTCACTTGAAAGAGAGGTTGTTTGGGAAACCATCAAAGGAACCAAATATTCTCCTGTACAAATTATCTAACAATATTTACGGTTGCTTATGTCCATCAATAGATATTGCTTCCTCCAATGGAGCCTTAGATAAGGTCTGTCACTGAAGTTATTAAGCCTGTGTATGTTCATAATTTGTTTCAAAAGATTATCTAATTTCGAATCTCCATGTTTTCCCCCCAGCTCATTCCTGTTTTTAACTCATGTAAGCAATTGGTCATTATCGCCACTGTACCTGCACCTTTCTACAAAGGCAATGATCCTACACTAGACCTACCTCCAGCATTTATGAGAATGCTCTACACATCTACCTGTGACAGTCATCATGCCGTTGCTCCTCTATTGGAGCCTCCAAACATGGTGTCAGGCATTCCTGCTTCTAGTAAGTATTCCTTTTTCAATTGCTCTCAATTCCCTCCAGAAGTTAAATTTTAATGAGTGCTCTTCCGGTTTGTTTCTAGTTTTGAATTGGTGTGAAATATTCAAGAAACCAGGCTGCCTTTTTGTCTGCTACAGTGATTCACATCATCTTGATTCCATTTCAGCAGAGCCCATGGTAACTATTTGCTCCAATGTATTTGAAGGATTGTTTGAACCCCAAGTTTTAACATTCCAATCAGCTGCGCATGAACCAACCTCAAACCTTTACATGTGATTTTCTGCTTATTATAAGCAAATTGTAAGTGTTTTTCTTTTTTTAAATATAAAAAAAATAGTTACGGTAAAATTTATGGGTTTTCTACCCTTTTCAACTCTGCCATACTCATACTCAACCAAGTTAGATAAGACTTCTATTGCTGCAATCTGCAATTGCTCAGAATGGAAAAGACATTAGAAAGAGACTTTTCACCGCACGGCCACACATTATACTGCTGCCGGGTTGTGTTGCATCCAAACTTAATTTTTTAGTCTAATATCTGTTTTTAATTACAAAACACTCAATGATATCTTATACAACTAACATTTTTGTACTAAACTGAACAGGAAAGTAAAAATAGTTTTTGAAGAGTATACCCTGTTAATTACAAAGGTGAGAAAAAAAAAGAATATTTCATTGAAATAGTGTTTGAGTGCAGCATTCCTTTTCTTAAACAGGGTTCATGTTTCCATCAGTTGCACCGTGTTGGCAGAAAGATAAGCAAAATGCTAAACACCCACACCAGCGTGGAGCAAGCAGAACTTTCGCCTCCTACGAGACGAGGCAACAACCAAGGTGTTGCCTAGGCTCAGATGCTGTGCTCCTAGGCTCAGATGCTGTGCTGGTGTGAAAGGTCTATATTTTGACACAATTTCTAGCAACACTGGCACAAACATATTTTAGGCCCGTATGTTAGGAACATTTTTACCGACAAAACTCACTGTAAAAATTCATTACATTACAAGAATATTTTAATTCTATTCCTTACATTAAAGACTAAGTCAAAAATAGCATTTTTCTTAGGTACATAGGTGAAAATATGTGCTTCATGATAAAATTTCTCAGCTCTAAAACAACAGTGGTTTGTCTGCTGTGATGATCGATTATGGAATGAATCGACTGTGAAAAATATTTAATTTAGCTTGTTTTTAGATGTTTCCTTTGTAGACTCATAAGTGTTCTTTATATCTTTTTTTCAATATCACATGGTATCACAGAAACCAAAGTACTGAATAAAAAATAAGAGATAAAGTTTGCTCACATGCCAATCAGCCTCAAGGAAACTGCTGCACTGAAATGACGTGGACATTTTACCCACCAACAATCGTCCGCGGAAAGTATTTAATTTTGAAATGGCACCATTTCGACTGATCCAGTAATTTGCATCATATGGACAAGAAAAGTTTCTGTACTATTAACCAGCACGTAGTGGTCCCAGCTTCAATCAGAGATTCACCCAAATTTCTATGTGTTGTCTCAATCTCAGTCGACTGTCGTGAGAGGAATTTCGTATTTTTGGTTGTTGGGCTTCCGGCCGAAGCAAGCCGCGCAGGCGGTGTCTCCCTGGCCGAAGCGCTCGCCGTCCTCCAGGGACTGGGGCATGGGCTGGTTCAGGGTTTCCGGCAAGAGCAGTGCCAAGAGGCCGGAAGTGACGGCGATCGAGGCAAATATCACAGTTGGTAACGTTTTGTCCAAGGAGTCCTGAAAGTACAACAGATATGACAATGTATTTTTTTAAACTTTTTTTAAAGAGGGCGTTTTGAGGTGCACTAACCAGGAGCGTGATCAAAGGGGTGAGGGCGCCGGACAGGCGGGCGCACATGGAGCCCACGCCCAGCGCCGTGTTGCGCACTGGGGTGGGGAACAGCTCCGCCGTGTAGTTGTAGATGATGGCGAAGGAGCCCGCGATCATGAACTTGCCGATCATCACCACCGTCGTGGCGGACGTGTTCCCGGCAGGAGTCGCTGCGGAGGCAGAAAAATACGAAAACGTGAAGCATGTTGCCGAACCCGGGTTCAAACACCCACTCTGCCTTTGTGTCTTTGGCTCACTTTGCGGTATGAAGGCAGCGGCGAGAGTGGCGATGCCGCCGAGCACCATCATGGCGCTGATGAGGGAGCGTCGGCCCGTGCGGTCCATCAGCAGGATGGTGACGACGTAGCTGGGGATCTCGACGAGCCCGACGAGGAACAAGATGAGGAACGGGTCTCCGGACAGGCGGCCCGTGTTGAGCGACAGCCCGTAGTAGCACAGGCTGTTCGCAAACCTGCAACGCACGGCAGATTACTTCAGGGAAGCCCAAACACGGACGATGCCCCCCAGTTCTGAACGGGGAGCTGCGCCTTTACCAGTTGAGGCAGCAGTTGAGCATCTTGGCGCGCATGTTGGGCGTCTTGAACAGGTCCGAGATGCCGTAGGCGACGTCCTCGCGCGTGCGCTCCTGCGACTTGCCCTTGGACACGTAGTGCGCCGCGTCGATGGCCTCGCCGCCGTTCACCAGCACGGCCTTCTCCACGATGTTGACGGCCTCCGTGACGCGGCCCTGCGACCACAGCCAGCGCGGGGACTCGTCGATCAGCCTGCCAAAAACACCGTCGTGTGAGCGGGAATCGAACCCCTGGAGGTTGGCGCCAATGCAGAGCAAACGAGTCACTGACCACCAGTGGCCGACGAGCAGCAGGCCGTGCAGCCCGTACACCACTTGCAGCACCACGCGGTCGCGGATGAGGTAGCCCCAGAACGCCACCAGCATCACGCCGCCCGCGAAGAAGCCCTGGAAGGTGATGCCGCACGCCGTGCGCTTGGACGCGCCCACCAGCTCCATGCCTGCGGACACGGCGAGCACCGAGAGGGGTTGCAGTGAGCCGGCGAGGCCAGCGGGGAAGCGGTCGCCCTCGGGCCGAGGCACTTACTGAGCACGAAGCCGGTGATGTAGGCGCCGGCCGAGCCGAAGACCCCATAGAAGAAGCGGACCACGAGCAGGGAGTAGAACTCGGGGACGAAAGCGACCGCCACGCCGAGAATCAGCTGCAGAACGGCGCACAGGTAAAAGATTGTTTTGCGGCCGTACCTGGCGGGGGGCGAGTTGAATGAGCGTCACTTTACCAAGTTGAAAAGAGTCCAAAGCAATGACGTCATCGTGGACTCACTTGTCGGCGAGGCTGCCCAGGCTGACGGCGCCCGCGAACACGCCGAACATGTAGGCGGCCTGCGCCACGGCGCCCATCCACCGCCGGCTGCACACCAAGTTCCACTCGATGGCGCGGCTGGACGTGTAGTAGGTCGTGTCGTAGATCCACTCGCTGCACGCCACCTTGGCCGTCTGGTTCTCGGCGTACAGGTGGCAGCCGTCCCAGCTGCCGTCCTCGTGCCGCGGCACCCACTCGCGCACCGCCAGGCTGTCCCACGAGGACGCCAACGTCCCCGTCGTGTTGACGTCCACGTCAGGGATCACGCACCTGCCAAAGGATAAGGCCGAAAAACATTTTTAAAAACCTTCGAACCGTGAGCCAGCACACTCGTCTATTTTTACTCTACCTGTGCTCGGGAACGGCTGCCACTGTGACAAAGGTGAGCATGTGGAGCCCGGCGGTGAGGGCGGCCAGAATGTGCAGCAGGAACTGCCGCATCTGGTACTTCCCAAACTCCCCTGGGAACAAAACAAAACAACGCTGTCAAGGTTTTTTTTTAAAAAAAATTGGCATGGACATGGACATGTCAGTCAACTGGCAAAAACAATGTGGTCAACGCGCACCGTGAAGAGAGCCGGATTGTGGCCCAGAATAGACGGGGTGGTTGGGTCGGGGCGGTTGGCGGTGCGGGCGGGTTGCACCGTACAGCACCGCCTTGCCAAATTCCCTCAGCGGCAAGGCTCCAAGGTTGCTGCAGGCCCGTTTGCACTTTGTGCCGCAGAGGCCTTCCTCCGACAGAGACGCACAGCCAGAAGGCCGATTCCGAGCCGGAGGCCCTTTCAACTCGTACTCATGGGGCGTCCTCTAAGGGTGCGGAAGAGAGAGAGATACACCGACGCAGCTGTCGATGCGTGCCTTGAGGTCTAGCCCGTAATGGTAATGGTAATGGACCGCCGTGCAGGGTAGGCCAGCCCGGCGCGCACGCCTGCCCCGCATTGCCTACCTGGCGCCGCTGGCGCCTCGGTCGCGCCGTGCCCAAGGTTCCTCGTCTTTGTCACGGTCATGGGCGGGGTGGGGGTGGGGGGGGGAGGAGGGGGTCTATCAGCAAGGGGCAGGCTGAGAGAAGCCGCAGAGGTGCCACGCGATCTACCGCCGGGCCGGGCTGGCCCATGGTGCCCATGGCAGCCCGTGGCTCTCCGCCACTGTAAGAGGAGCGCCATCCCAGTCCGCCGGAGACTCGATCACCTCTCCTGCTTCACTGCTTCGCTGCTTACCGCGCCATGATAACGACCAGGACCGCCACCTGGGGGGGGGGGATTTTTGGGTGCCGATAGCGACACTGATAAAGGCCTGTCCGGTGACCGGGCCAGGACCGGGCCACCACGTGTCCGCCTTGGCTGGCCATGGCCCATTGTTGTTGTTGTTATCAGTATTATTGTTTTTGTTGTTGTTTACCGTAAGCTGTGGGGCGTGCTGGCCAGTGCTGGCGTGCTTTGAATGGCAGCGCACGCAGCGTCGTCGAAAAGGTGCCAAGTGATTATCCTTGGGGTGCGAGAGAGTGCGAGGCAGAGGCCAGCGTCACTTTCCCGCGCTCCGGAATAATTATCGCGTCAGCCTACAGAATGCTCCAACTGAAAACTTTACAAAAGGCTGCTTTTGATTTACAACAAATTTCCGCGGCGGTTTTTCTCTCAGTGCGCTTCTCGTGACGCATGGACGAAGCATGAATTATTCAGCAGGATAATTTGGAATAGTTTGCAACAGTGTGGGGCGGCCGGCGCTGGCCGCGCGCTGCCATGCCCGCGCCCGTTCCACTTCCACTCAGACTCTTCGGTTATTTCCAGTTGTTGCTGTAATGAGCCCACCCACGGTCCAATTCCACGGCCGACTAAGAAAGGCCCTGCCAGGCTAGGCTAGGCAAGGCTAGGCAAGGCCGGGCAAGGCGGCGCACCGCGCCAACCTCGATTGGTAAATCAACAAGTCGACGGCCGGTACGGCACCCCTCAAGGACGCCACAGGACACGGGACAGTGTTTGGTCGGGTTACACATGCCCCTCGCAAACAATGTAGCCCGGCAGATGCGCGGCAAATGTTGCTAAAGCCGAAATGAAATAAAAAAACGCTGAGCAAAATGCGGAGATTGTTGTTGTTTTTGTTTACGCCTCCCCGCGTGAGGCTGAAAAAATGGGACACTTTTCAGTCCATTTCATGTTTAGTGCCCACCTGTCCCGCTCCCCTCGGCCCACTCTCTGTCCTGTCAGCTTGACGAGCCGGTGGGGGTCTTGTTCCGGACCAGTGCACCTTCGCCACTTTTCCCCCGCGCGGACACTTGCACCCCCCCCCCCCTTCCCCCTCGTGCTTCCTTCCGCTCTCGCTCCACCAGCTTCCGGACCAACAATGCAAGGCCTGGCTGGCCATCCTGGCACCTGGAGCGTGCCGGACAGTGCTGGACGCTGGTCACCACGTCGGACAGGGACACCGGCGCCAGCTAAGACCGCGGCTGCCGTCGCCGTCACGGCCTTTTTAAGCTTCAACTTCGGTTTTTCCCGTTTCAAGAGGAGAGCGCTCGGTGGGCGACAACTACTTGTGGCACATGAGGGTCTCCTCGGCGCTGCGGACCCGGATCGATCGGAGCGTCGAAATGGAGAGCCTATGGGGGTGGCGGGGGCGTCGGGGGTGGCTGGCGGGGCGGCTCTGCCAGTAGTAGGCTTCGCGCCGGCCGCGGGCCCGGGCACGCCGTGGGCCTTGCCGTGGGCCGTGGTAGTGAACGCAGTGTAGGTGGCGCGGCACGCCATGAGCGGCGTGCGCACCTCGGCCAAGCCGCGCCAAGCCGCCACGCAGGCAGCAGTGGCGGCCGGACAGGTGTCTGCTGGTAATTTTCAAGCCATTTGGAGGAGGAAGCACGATTGCGGGAAGAGTGTCGCGGGTTTCTGCTGCGGTTGTTCTCGCTGCGCCGCCGTACACCGCGAGGGCTCTAGCGACGCAGCCACCCCACTCCCCTCCCCGGCTCCAGGGTCAGCGGTGCCCTGACGGTGCCCTCGCCCCAACCGAGGATGGCGCCCCCTAGGGTCTCGCCCACGGTCGATACGGGGGTCGGCGCCCGGGCCTCTCCCTTGCTCTCCCTCGCCGGCCTCGGCCTCCTACGTATCGCGGGCTCCGGGTGACCCCGCCCTGGTCCAGCACCAGGCACGTCGCTCTGCATGACGGCAACGGACATGGCGACCTTCGGGAGCGCTCAAATGCCACAGGCCGGCGTATCGCATATCCCGCGCGGGGCGGCCAGGCCCGTTTCTGCGCCGGTCAGCATTGGCGACGGCGGACAGGACGCCCGTCAAGCCAGCAATGAAAACGCGAGCGGCAAAAAGCGAGAATCGAACCCGGCACTGTCCCGCCAGACTGTCGAGTTGTCAATAAACTGGCGCCGGCAGAGTGCGGACGCGCTGAATGGAGTGAGAGAGAGAAAAGAAAGAGCAGTGCGAGGACTCGAATTGTGCCGGTGGCAGCCCTTTGACGGGGAGGGGGGAGGGGCTGACGCGAGACGGAGACAGCCACTAAGTTTAGCATCTTCGACAAAGGCCGAGGGATGGGAAGGGACACCTTCTGGGCCACCTGGCCGGGCCGAGGTTCTGGCCTGGCTGGCTCCATGTTTGCACTCATGTCGCACCACTGAAATGGTGTCGCAATGTCGCCTCGTTCTGACGTTCGCCGCGTTCGCGCCACCTCTGCACTGTCAAACGCAGGGCGTCTCCGCTTCCTTCTCAGCTCTCTGGCCCTGCCAGTGACACCGCCGCTGGAGCCGGCCGGCTGCGCAGTGCGCGGCCACGTGACCCGCCAGGGTGCGGGTTCGAGGCCCGCCGGCAGCCTCCATGCACCACGCCACCAAAAACCGCGACTAACCGAGGTGCCCCATGAGCTGCTCCAAGTCCTGGTCGACGTCCATGGCTGCGGCGTGACGGCGTCCGCGCGACGAGACGACGACGCGTGACGGTCACGGCGGCGGTTCGCGCGTCTCTGTCTCTCTCTGTCGCACTGCACGTGGGGCACTACACGTGGATCCGGGCGACGGCGAGACGGTCCGCGGCGGCCCCTCCGACGAGGCGCTGCTGGTTCGTGTTGCGGCCGCCACGCCACCCGGCGAACTGGCTGAGCGAGCGGAGCACGGCGCGGAGCAGAGCGCGGAGCGACCGCGTCTGTCCTACCCGCCAAGCAGGCACGGCGCGCGGAGCACGGCGGCGGCGGGGCGTAGCGGCGTAGCGTGGCACCCCCCCCCGCCCCCCGCCCCCCACCGGGCCGCGGCGAGCCGAGCACAGGCGCCGCGAGGGCGGCCTAGGGGCCTAGGGCGCCGCGGCATCGCCCGCCACGCCGCCTGCACACCGACCTAACCTCGCCGACCATGGCGCGGGCTGGGCTCCGCACTGCTCCGCACCACCCCAACGTTCATTCATTATTACCATCGTGCTGCATGCTGTCTACTACCCCGTTTACCCCTCCGGGCCTTCGGCCGACGGCGGAAACGGAGCGGTTGCTACGGCAACCGCGACCCCCCGCGACGTCCCGCGGCTCCCTTGAACCTGCCCTAGCAGCGCGGGCAGCGCGCCGCGCCTGATTGGCAGCCAGCTTGATGGCCTCTTTGTTGATGCCGCGCGAACACCGCCGCGATAACCCCGAGGGCCTGCACTGGCCTGCACCCCCCTCGTGGGCGAGCGCCCTAATCTCAGTTCAGAGGTTGCGGTCGGTCCGCCTTCGCCGACGCAAGACGTAAATAAACACCAAACAAACTTTTCTAGCTGTCGATTTGAGTCGTTTCGGAAATTTCTCTTCCTCGTTCTATCGCCCGGTCGAGCGGCAGTGCGTTGACCCGGCGCGCTTTTAAACCACCCTGGGGTGGTGGCTTATCGCCGCATCCATCGGTCCGTTCGTCTGCCTGTCGAGTAGAAGTGCTGGAGATGGGAGGCAGGCGCGGCCCCGGCGCACCACTGTCACGGTGTGACCGCCCAGTGTGACTACCAGCAGGGTACCACACACACCCGGCAAGTCATTCAGTTCTGTACTCAGCTGTTTCGGTGCGGTTCGACACGAATCTGTCATACTGGACCGGCCTAGAATGACCGAACAGTGGACAAGTGCAGCAGTGGAGTGACTGACTGGCCAGGGCCTGCGGCATCTCCGTGAGCAGTCTGATCGCTCTGTCTCTCTTGCACTCCCTGCAGAAGAGGGAGAGAGAGAGAGAAGCGCTGACGGAATGAGTCGGCTGCAGCGGATTCATGAGCAGGCGCCCGGCCTGCCCTCAGCCTGCCCCGCCGGCCGACAGTCAATCAATGGCAATGACTTCGGCGACTGCGGCAATGGGCTGTCCGCGTGCCTCGGCGTGCCGCGTATGTGGAGCAGCAATTGAAGGACTCACTCGCATCCTCACTGCTCGGAGGCTGAAGCTGAAAATCCGAGTCAACGTGAACCTTACCGCCCGCCGGGCCGCCGCCGCTGTGCCTCGTTCTCGCTGTCACCTCTCCGGCCGCCAGCACATGCTGCCTTTCGGATCGTTTCGAGGAACTTTCTCTCATACGAAGTCGAGTATTCTTACAGTGGCAGATACAGAAGCCCCAATCGAACGGCATCTGATTCCATTAGAGTTGTCGTTCCCTCCTCCTCCTCCCTCTGCCCCTTCTTCTCCGCGCGGCTCGCGTTTAGAACGGCCCCTGCGTCGTTGCGCTCCGCCCGCCCGCCACGCGGCCGCGCCCGTTGAGTTGCCTAGCGCCCCGGCGTTCCGTGAGACGGGGCAGGCAGGACGACGACGTCCCCGCGCCATCGGCACGCGCGCCTGTGCCGCCACGCCCACCACCACCACCGCCGCAGCCCACAGCTCACTTGCCCTCTCGGCCTGAAGGTCTGAAAGGGCTGTCGAACATCGCCCCAAAGTTATCCTCGCAGTGGCGTGCTTAAGTGCGGCACACCGCGACACGCAGGAGGCTGCGGCGGCGGCGGCTCTCCGCCCCCATGGCGCGAATGGCTTCGGGATCGTCGCGGAGGCCTCCTTGACGGCTTCCTTCCGTCTGTGGGCGTGGCGGCTGGGTCCTGGGTGGTGCTGGGTGGTGCTGGGTTAGCGGAGCAGGCCCGGCCGACTGCCGACCCTATTTCTCGATCTCATTGCGATGCGCTGCGGCGTCTGCCCGGCGGCCCTGCAGCCTTGCCGCGCGCCACTAGTTTCACCAGGTTCTGGGTTCAAATACCCGCGCTGGTACTTTTATGTTTGTTGTGTCGCGTCGCTTCTGAAGGGGAGCGGTCGGGGCGCGGCATTCCTCGCGGACGGACAGGTGAGGCGGCCTGGGGCTTGACATGCAGGGCGCGGCCAGACAGACACGGCGACACCGGGCGACACGGCCACCGGGGCATGCCCCTGCAGGGCCGCGCCCGGCCGCGCCGCATTTAGAAGTCCGAAAAGAAAAAGAAGCGGTTATTTTTCGTCGCACCCCGCGAGTCCGAGTCGGACAACGTGGACGACGGCCGCGGCCGCTCTCCGCGCTCCCCCGCGCTAAAAGTACCGGCCGGCTGCGCGGCTGGGGCACCGGGGCAACGCCCCCCTCCCCCTCCCCCAACCCCGCCCCGCCGCTGCAGTAGCTGTAACATTTGCAGGCGGGCCGCTTATTTTTAAACCAGTGACGTCACAGGTCGTCCTATGCACTGCCACCTGGGTCTCGGTGACGGAATTGGGGCGGGAGTGATGAGTCGATTCGAACGGCCACTCTGGAACGCGCCGACGGCGACGACGCCGTCCGCGAGGCGCTATGGGCGGCGGTGGCGGCTGGCGGCCCGGCTCGGGTTTCCGATGCGGCATGGCAGCTGCCCAGCTGGGGTGACCGGACCGGGTCCAAAGTCAACGGAGGCGCTTGGTTACTCCGCCATCGCAGGCTACGCCCTGCTACGCCCACGAGCAGGGCAGGGCCGAAAGGATCGGACTGGGTGATCTCCGGGGACGTGGGCACGGCGGCACGGCCAAGGCGAAGACGGCGAGACACTCCATTCGGATGCAGGGGCCTCGTCCCGTGACACTGCGACACTTCAGTGGACGTGGACGCCCATAATGCGATCAGTGCCCCGTCTCGCTCGCGCCCTGGGGGCGCCGCACGAGTGCGAGAGAGACAGAGCGACGACAGCACAGGAGGGGCCGCGCTTCGATTCACCGCCTGTCACGTAACTGTGCTGCCCGTGATGAACAAGGCGTGCCTGCTGCCTGATTCCGCGCAGCGTTTCGGCGCTCTGTCTCTCTCGCACTCGTGGGGCGTCCCGTGCGGGTGCGAGAGAGACAGAGCGACGAAACGCTGCGTGGAATGAGGCTGCTGACGCGGGCAGACGGGCCGACACTGTGGTCCAGAGCGGCGCAGCCGCAGCATTGTGGACCTGGCTGCATCTCTTTGAACTGTAAATATAGTCTGCCGGCAAGCCTGGCAAGCTGCCCATCCGAACTCGCCCTCTTTGTGAGTGGACGCGCGCGTGCGCGTGGCAGTGTGTGTGTGTGCTGTGTGTGTGTGTGTGCGTGTGGCATGCAGTGAGGGCGCGCTTCGTTTAGCCGCGGGAAGCATCTAATGCTGACATCCCGCTTGCGCAGAGGCGCCAACAAGTTAAAAATTGACATGAGTTATATTAATTATTTTTAATAAAAACAAGTCGAAATGTATTTATATATTTTGTAATCATAATCAAACAAATAAAAATTGAGGCGAGTAAGAAAGGAGTGCAGGGGAAAATTCAAAGTGGGTTCCCCCAGTGTCTTTGCATGCCTCCACCAAATTGGTCTCGGTCACTGGCCACGCTGCTGCTGCTGCCCCTCTCCTAGCAGACGGATTCCGAAAGTCGTTTTCGTCGCTCTGTCTCTCTCGTACCTATAGTACGGGGCGCTTAGAGTGTGAGAGAGAGACAGAGCGACGAAAACGACTCTCGGAATCCGTCTGCTGGGACGCGCCTAGAATAGGGCCCTCCCCTCGGCGTCGCGGCGCGTCGCGGCGCCGGGGCGATGCCAGTCAGTCACCTCGCTTGGAGAGGATGAGAGGAAGTCATGCCTCGCTGCACGTAATATTATTGTTCCTCCTCGTCTCCCCCCCCCCCCCCCTCGTCTCCCCATCCGTCCGCGTCATCATTAGCAGGGCGCCTTCGATCTTCGGTCTTCGATGTTCGATCTTCGATTTGAATGCAGGGATGATGCCTTCCGGCCCAATCGCTGGGAGGGCCGGCAGTGATCCGCGGCTATCGGGCCGATGCCCTCGGGGCTCGGAGGGGTCACCAGAAGCACGGGGACCTTCGCGGAACACAGGAAGCCTACTCGGAGGCCTCCAGCCCTCGCACGTCCGCGCTGACGCGATGAATGTCCTCCAAGACTAACGACGTGACGGGGCCCGGCTACACACATGTGGAACACGTGTCGCCGTGCCTCCGAGTGCCAGCCCGGATTCGCAACAGGATTTGCAGAACGTCGCTGCCCCCAGTGTTCCACGAGTAATGTCCCGGCCGTCGTGGTGGTCGAAGGCGCTCCTCCAGGAGTACGCCACTGCTGTTTGCTTTTGCTCCGGCTCGTCGGACTTTGTCGGACTTTGGTTAATTTGGAAAACAAACCGCGCCGCGGCTTGGAATGGAATGCTCGAAGCTCGGCGGACGGGCAGTGCGGCGGTGCGCCTGAATGGGGCAAGGTCCGTCGCGCGCTCCTGGCCCTCCTGGCAGCGCGAGTGGTTTGGTGGGTCCCAGCCAACGGACCAGCGCACCGATTCCGCCGTCTCTCTCGCGCTCACGGGGCGCCCCGTACGGGTGCGAGAGAGACAGAGCGACGAAACCACTGTCCGGAACCAGGCTGCGGACCAGCCGTGTCATTGACCTTGCGCAGCGTGCGCAGCGCAGAGGACTCGCTGAGTTGTGGCGCGCTAATGCATGCGGGTGGAGAACGTGACGCGTGACGCCACGGGCAGCCCCAGGGAGGGCTCGTCGCTCTGTCTCTCTCGCACCTGTTCGGGACGCTCCATGAGTGCGAGAGAGACAGAGCGACGAAAGCGACTCTCGGAATCGGTCTGCTGGTAGAGGACAGCCCGGCAGGTACGGCACGCCGCCAGTTTGCATCCAAATGAGACGGACGGCAAAAGTGGGCGGCACGCGCGCGAGTACTCGAACCCGCGTCCTCCGGCAACAAGTCCTTCGTCGTGCCGACGGCGTCCTCCTAGCGTCCTCCGGCTTGGCGAGCAGGAGGATGATTTACCGCGACGAGCACGGACTACGTTCTGCTGCGAGGCGCGGGGGTGAGGGGGAGTGGCCGCCGGGCCGTGGCGAGCCTTGGATAACGCTACGGTCGCTAAGCTTACTCGCTGAACTGAACGCGGTTCGCGGCTCCCTTTCCCCTCCGAACGGCCGTAGGCCGTACCGTCGTACCGTCGTACCGTGCGTAGGGCCCCCGCCCCGCCCCGCCCGCGCGCCCCGCCTCTGCCCGCTCCGCCCCGCCTCACCGCGCGCCGCCTCGCCGCGCCCCGCGGGGCCCTGGGCCCGTCCGACAGGGTCCCCCAGCCCCCGGCGGCCCCCGGCCCAGAGCAGAGCACCGCCGGCACAGTCACAGTCACACACGGGCGCGCCGTGCATCGCCTCGTCGCCGCGCCGCGCACCGCGCACGTGAGGAACCGACGCGCCGGCCGCGCCGTGCACGCCGCCGCAGCACCGCGCACCGCGCACCGCAGCACCGCCACTCAGTGACTAGTGTAGTGACACGGCAACGGCCCGGTTGGGTTGCAGCAGCCCGTTCCAGGCGCCGGCCACCGGCCCCTACAAGCACCCCGTGAGGACTATGCGGACGGCCTGACGGCCAGCACGCTGCACTAGTGCTGCACTTTGGACCCCCAGTGAAGACCGCCCCGTCCCGCCACCATGAAGAAGGTGGACAACGACTTGGAGGAGCTCATGAGCTTCATGGGTGAGTACCGGCTGTTGACTCTGAGCGAGATTAAGTCGTCGTGGGCCCTCTAATGAGAAAGAGAGAGATAATCGAAATCGAAGTCCGCGCCAAACGCTTATCTCGGTGTTTTCATTGGCGGGTGGTGCCCCTGCCCCTCGGGCCCGGCTTGGCGTTCAGAGGCGCCTCGATCGTCACAACGCGACAAGCCCAGCCACCGAAAACTTGAAGGCACAAAGGTGTCAGCTCCACTGCACTGCGAGTGTGTCGAATAAGACAAACCTGGCATTTAAGTGCAATTCCGCTTATCTGGCTCGTCCCCAGCCGGCTCCCCCTATGCCCGAGATTGCGGCCGTGTTTACCTGGCTTGGCAGCATCTAGGGCGCGGCCAGGCAGGGCCAGGCAGGCCAGGCAGGGCAGTGCTGCGCCACGAGCCACCCCTAAGACTCCACAGCCGGCCCGCGAAGCCAGCCAACTGCCTACACCCGCTACACCCGAAGCGCCCCGCGGCCGCGGCCCCCCGTCGGCCTCTAGTTTCTCTACGACGACTCGCTCGTCCCGGCCCGGCCCGGCACGGCCCGGCATTATCGGGCTTCGTTTACAAACAAATACGCCACCCCGGCCCGGCCCGGCCGGACTCTGGGTTCAAAGTCCTCCGTTCGAAAGCGACTTGGGCCCGAAATGGCGGCACAGCGCTTCGAGTTCGAGTCACCCTGATAACCTTCCCGACAGTTTCCCGCCCGCCGGCGCCCGTCCGTCATACTATCGCCCGATTATGTAGTCAATTAGTCGACTAAATTTTCTAAAATTAAAATCGACCCGACCGTGTAAATATCCGGGCGGCCAAATTTACACTGTTGTCTCTCCAAACACCACCGAGCGCCTCGCGCACGTGTTTTAGTAGCCGGCCGTCCCATATAGCTCCTCAAGTCGACGCCATGGGCCGCGGGCCACGCCATAGCCATAGCGAGCCGGCAACAACAGGTGCTCTGCCCCTCCCCTTTGTACCTTTGCGCAGGTGAAGGGGCGAGGGGAGGGGGACTGCCGTCACAGGCCGCGTGCGTGAGATGCACTGCACTCGCGTTAAAAAAAGACAAAGGCCTTTCGGACTTTGCGCGCCAATTTCGCTGTGCGACCGTCGCGCAACGGTCACACAGCAGACTGGTTCCGGAAAGACGATTCGTCGCTCTGTCACTGTCGCACTCGTGGGCGAGAAGGCGACGACGCGAGAGAGACGGAGTGACGAAATGACGTTTCGGAAACGCTCGGTTGTGGTAGTGACTCCGTGACGCGGTGCTTTTTCGCGCCCTGATAGCACGTGTGGCGCCCTTCTGGCCCGCGGGTCAGAGTCCTTCCCTTCGCTGGCGTGGCGTGGCGTGGCGTGGCGCGGCGGGGCGGGGCGGGGAACAAGTCCTGTCTGCGTCCTGGAAATGGCGCGAAATGCCCTCCCTGCACTTCGGCCTCCACGCTGCACGCATGCACTAAGCACGGCGCCCCGCCTCCCGAAACCGCTCCCGGGTTCCCGGCGTGCAATTGCCCTCGCCCCCCCAGCCTTCCCACAGGAATGCGGCTGCCTGGGACACTGCAAGGGACTCGGCGGCGAGATAACGCCTCTTTCTCTTTCTCCTCCGTTGACACGGTTTTCCGCTTTTCTGCACGCAGGTCCGTTCGGCCGGTATCAGTTCTTCCAGTTCGTGCTGCTCGCGCTGGCCTCCGTCAACGCCGGCGTGCACATGCTGTCCCTCGTCACCGTGGCCGCCGTCCCCGAGCACAGGTAAAGCCTGCGCACCTGTCGCGCGATAAGCGCCGGTCGCACTCTAGCGAAAACCGAAAAGACCACCGACCGGTGTTTGAACCGGCGTCTTTTCCCTCGCAGGTGCTTCGTGCCCGACGTGGACCAGCGGGTGAACGGCACGGTGCGCGCGGCGGCCTGGAACTCCAGCGAGGTGCTCCGCCACATCCCGCGCAAGGGCGCCGCGCTGGACAAGTGCCACTTCCTGCTGCACGGCAACGAGTCCCTGCGCACGCCCTGCGGCGAGCACGGCTGGGTCTGGGACGACACCCACTACCCGTCCAGCAGGGCCATCGAGGTGCGCATCCACCGCGTAGTCCGTCGTCATGTAACACGTGTACAGTGCACTGCATGTCGGCCATGCAGGCGGTCCGGCCCGGCCGGCCGCATTCCAGTGGCGTCGCGGCCGGGCCGGCGGCCAGGCCGGGCGCACTTGAATACTTGAAATCAAACCACTCGCCCCACGACACTGCTTGCGGCGCTATTCTTAGTCCCCGCCGATGTTTTGAGTCCTGGACAGTTTTGCCTGGCAACTGTCGCCCGTGTCCTGCGGCAGAGCGAATCCGCTCCGTGTCTCTCGCGCCTCCGCGGACTCCCCCAGGAGTGCGAGAGAGACGGAACCAACCTTCGGTCACGCCGTTTTTTCGAATTGCAGTGGGAGCTGGTGTGCGACCGCAGCTGGATGGGCGCGCTGGCGCAGTGCGTGTACATGTCCGGGCTGCTGATCGGCGCCGTGCTGCTGGGCAACCAGGCGGACCGCTTCGGCCGCAAGCCCGTCTTCTTCGCGGCCGCCGTGCTGCAGCTCGTGGTCGGCACGGTGGTGGCCTTCGTCCCGGACTTCTACAGCTTCCTCGTGCTCCGCTTCCTGTACGGCGTCGGCACCGTGGGCACGCTCTCCGCCTCCTTCGTGCTCAGTACGGCCAAAATAAAGTGTTATCGTTGAGAAGTAGCAAGGTGCAGAGCTTCTAAACGCGCTCTCCTTGTTGCAGTCATGGAGATGGTGGGCCCGACGTACCGCACGGCTGCGGCATGGCATTCCAGAGCTCCTTCAGCGTCGGCATCGTCCTGGTGGCGCTGTGGGGCTACTTTCTGCGCGACCGCCAGTTGCTGCAGGCCATCTACGGGCTGCACAGCCTGCTGCTCATGCCCCACTGGTGGTGCGTGCAAGACGACTTTCCCTCACTAAAAGTATTTTTTAAAGCTGGAGAGTAACTCGGAAGCTCTGCTGCAGGCTGGTGGACGAGTCCCCGCGGTGGCTGTGGTCCCAGGGCCGGACGCGCGAGGCGGTCCGCGTCGTCGCCAAGGCCTCCAGGCTGAACTACGGCGAGAAGCACTCGTCGGACATCGCCAACTTCCTGCGCAAGGACTCGGCCACGGCGGACGCGACGGGTGACGTGGAGGACGAGCCCGCCCCTCCGCAGATGAGCATCACGGACCTGTTCAAGACGCCCAACATGTGCAAGCGCATGTTCAACGTCAGCTTCAACTGGTGAGAAGAGAGCACGGCCCCGTCCGGACCCGCGAATCAAGTTTTTACACTTTTCGATCTGATTTGACTCTTTTTCCCACAGGTTCGCCAACAGCCTGGTGTACTACGGCCTGGCGCTCAACACGGGCAAGCTGTTCGGCAACCCGTTCCTCATCCTGTTCATCGCGGGTGTGGTGGACGTGCCCAGCTACATCCTGACCGGCATCTTCATGAACTGGCTGGGCCGGCGCAACTTGATCGCGTCCCTCATGGTGCTGGGCGGCCTGGCCTGCATCTCGGCGGCCTACATCCCCGCCGACGCCGGCGCCTGGGCCACGGCCATCGTCATGATCGGCAAGTTCTTCATCGCCGGCTCCTTCGCCATCATCTACAACTACACGACGGAGCTGTTCCCCACGGTGGTGCGGAACACGGCGCTGGGCGCGTCGTCCATGTGCGCCAGGATCTCCGGCGCCGTCACGCCCTTCATCGTGCTGCTGGTAAGCGGCGGCGACATACGGCCGCGTGGGCAGGGGCGTCAGTTTCCAACCCAGCGGACCGCGGTTCGACTCCTCGCTTTCACTGTTTTTCTCTGCGCAGGACTCGCTGGACCCGTCGCTGCCGTCCACCATCTTCGGCTGCGTGTCCATCACGTCGGGGCTGCTGTCGCTGTTCCTGCCCGAGACGCTGGGCCGCGCGCTGCCGCAGACCATGGAGGAGGGCGAGCACTTCGGCGACGGCGAGACGGTCTTCGGGGGCTGCTGCGGCAAGGGCCGCCGGCCCGTGTCCAGGGCGGCGTCGGAGCCCGGCCGCCGGGACTCGCTGACGCGCCGCTCGCTCAAGGGCAGCGACGACAACGAGATGGGCAACCTGTCGTGAGGGCCGCCGCGCCCCAGGCCGCCCCAGGCCGCCCCAGGGCCCTTGGCGTCAGCGAGCGGACAAGCCGCTGCAGCTTTGCTGCAGTGCAGGCGCGCGCGGGGTATCCGCCCGCGGGGTAGGCAACCATTCCGCCGCCTCACCGGCTCACCGCCCCCTTCAACTCGCGGCGCGCGGAGTATCGCCGCGGTTCGACGCGTGGAGTAGCGCGGCCGGCCGGCCAGCCAGCCCGCGGGGCGGGGGTCTCATCACTGCCATCGAGATTGTAGGGAGGGAGGGTTTCCTGGAAGTTGTGTTCGGATCTAAGGTGCACTTCGAAGTGCCGCAGCGACCACGCACTGCAAGTGGACTGTGGCTTCCATTTTCGGCCAAAGTACTGTTTTTAATGCATCACCTGCCGGGCGGGCAGTAGCGTCAAACTGATCTCTGACCATCAAATAATTGTCAAATGGATTTATTTTGTACTTAAAACTTGACTGAATGTGCGTCACTTTGACTGTTTTAATGAGCACGTCTAGTTAAGCTCTTTGTTATTCGAGTGTGCTGTTTTACCAAGGGCCAACAAACCCACGAGTGTACCTGCTAGTAGTGTGTAGGGAACGTTAACTTTTAACTCACATGATTCAGCGCATCGCGCGCAGAATTTGCCAGAGTCTGTTCTTCTATTTTCCTTAACGTTGAAGGCTGTTGTTTGTTAAACTGAATGTAAAGTTTTTGATACAATGTGTGTATTTTCAAAAAAAGGACATTAAACAAACGGTGATTTTTATAAATAATAAAAAGGACGCCTTTTATTTCTTGGCACCGACTTCCTTCCGCTCACAGCCTGCCCCACCACCTGACCAGCGCAGCACTGCCGGGGTTGGGCGGCCGCTCCTCGAAGGTGCCCCGTCGCTGTGGCCACCAATCAGTAAGGCGCAGGCAGGGCCAGGCAGGGCCAGGCAGGACAAACTCAAACAACAAGGAAGAAAAGTAGAAAACCACTGTCACTGCGGTTGGTGCCACCCGCTGCGTTGCTCCCTGCACGCAGCACCTTACCCTAACTTACTTTTAGATCCAGACAAGTGAAGGCAACCCAAGGCTGCGAGTTGGAACCCCTAACTCGAACTTGAACGCCCCCACCCCCCACCCCGATACCGAGATGTCCGAAACACGCGGCTAGCCAGGCTGAGGCTAGCCGTAGTTGACGGCGTGCAGGTCGCGGAGGTAGCGCGGCGGCACGGCGACGGGCGCGAGGAAGGACGGCGGCGGCACGGGCCGCTTCTCGCAGGCACGCACATGGCTGGCCATCACCATGGGGTCCGTGGTGTCCTGGTGCACGGCGCGGACCAGCTCGCGGCTGAAGCGCATGTCGGTGTAGCGGTTCACGATGCGCAGCACGCCGAGCGACGGCAGCGGCAGCTCCAGGTCCTTCAGCTCCATGCACAGCCGGCACAGGGCCTGCGGCAGGGGGGGCTCTGTCTCACTCGCACTCACGCAACGCGTGCGCAGCGCCCCCGCCCCGCGAGGGCGACGGCAGAGCGCCCGTGGAGCGGAGGGTAGGCAGCGGTGTGTAGCGGCAGCGTCTGGCGGGCCGGCCTATGCTCCGTTCCGCGGGCGCTGAGCCGAGCCGATGGCGACGAGACACTCAAGACGTACCTGCACAACTTCATTGATGATTTCCTCCACGGCGTGCCTCGACAGGCCGGCGAGTCTGGCAATGGTCGTGAGGTTGGGGGATACAACGCTGATCTAAAAACAACAACAACACACACACAAAAAAAAAGCACACGAGACTTTAGTGGCGCTTCAGGGCCTTCACTGCACCGACAACTTTAGACACGAACTTTGTCGGATGAGTACAGTCTGACGCATTTGATGTGGTACGAGTCGCAGAGACGCTTGTCCAAGTAGAACACGGGGCGGTGAGACCAAATGGCGTAGATGGAGGACACGGGCATGGAGTACTCCTGCACGGTGAACCTGCCGAGGCCCTTGATGTCCACTGCCTGGAAAAGGAGGTCCGCGTTCAAGGAGACAAGGGCGGCGCGAACGCGACCGTTTAAAAATTGACGTACGAACCCTTTTCTTCAGAAGCGAACTTCGTATGAACTGGGCCACTTGCTTCCACACCTCGCTGACATCTGCGCAGCCGAAAATTGCTCCCTTAGTGACACTTACGGTGTGCTTCATCCCGGTGCATCTTGCCGGCACAATCTTACCTTCAGGACTGTAAGATTTCCCTATTCCAGATTGAAAGTTTCTTTGAGCAGTCTCTAGCACATTGGTGTACACGACCATGTCACCCGGACGTCTTTGTGAACCGATCCGCTGTAAATTTTAAAGAGGAGGTGGGGAAAACTTCTTGACACTTGTCGAACACTTGTTCTTGTTTGCAGTGGAACACAACACAAGCTTCCCGCGCTCGTAACCATAGCAACGGCAACTTGACAGCTGCTTCTCAGTTCTCCATAAACATGTTGTTCCAGTAAAACGGCGTTTGGTTGGATTGACATAACTTTATGTTTTAGTTTTTCAATAAATGAACCAGTAGTTGATGCCAGCTGAACGTAAACACGTTAAAATAAACAAGTATTCCTCTGTGACAGCGTTGGCTAGCCTGTCACGATTGCTGCGCCACCTGGCGTCGGGCACTCCCACCAGGTTTGTTTTGGGCTGACGGCAACACGGGGCGTTGACGGCTGAAGTAGACGTAAGTTTTCTGTCCTTTCAGTTTAATCTTTGACATTAAAGTCTCAGGACGATGAGGACAAACATATTTTAACCTAAACGTTACTCTTGAGTCAGCCCTGTCCGACTTATGCCTCTGACAAATTAAATTGATTGCATTGGCACTATTTGGAGGTTAAACGAATTAATTTGTCTCTTCTGTTAGTAAATAACAAATAAATGCCCTGTTTTTCTGAAGAACGGAAGATCTTTGCTATTCTATTTTCAATGCTCATTTCATTCCCGTTTCCTAAACTCGGTGCTCTGTACACAGTTTCCTTTGATTTGTTGTGTTTACTCTGAGTATGCTTTGATTTGTTTTAGCAGTAAAAGAAGCATCACGATGAGACTAGAAACTTTCTGGACGCCCTTTATTTGGGCGCACAATATTCGAACTGGATGCAAATGGGTCGCAGGATACACAATGGTTGGTACAGTACAAGATTTTGTTTTCTATACGTCATTCGTAGTGTTGAGTCTTCTATTAATGGGTTGGTATCTTTTTTCTGTAATACTCATACACTCCCATTTGTTTCCTAGGCTTCATGTGTGGTCCTTATTACATTTACGTGCCATATGTTGAACGGCGGTGAATCTTCCCAGCTGTACTCACCGCTCTTTGAAACTGACGTGCGCTATTGTAAGTTTTTACCAATATTTTACTTGGCACATAGGTAGATAATATTCGAACCTCATGAATATTTGGTCCCTTACAGCTATGAAGACTTTTGGTGGTATTTTCATCACCTACTTCCTCCTCCTGATCATCTTCTCCATACTTCTGTTGGTCGGACTGCACAGAGGCACGCGTGGTTTCATGCTTCCATGGATGTCATTCTTCGGCCTGGGCATATTATTCCAGTGTGTCTTTGGACTGTGGCTGATTGGTGGATACTATATTTATGTGAGTACATATTTTGAGCTTAAATTGAAGCAGATTGATTGAAGTTTGTAACTTGTAACACCACTTAATTTGTATTCCATTGCAGTTGGACTGTGTGATGTATGCATTCATAATCTGGATATGGATGGGTTATAACGTAAGTATTTTATCAAACAAGTTATGTTCTGATTTTTAAAAAATATGCTGTTTAGCTATCCCTTATTTGGTACTAACTCTTACCTTTGGAATCTAATTTTTGCAGATCTATTGCTGGTTGTGTGTACACTCCCAGTATATGGTAATAGCAGAAATGCAATCACCAAATATTATTCTGTTGTATCCGTGATGGTTCTCCTGTGAACCACATTCTTTAGAATAAGAATTGCTTTGGAAGGTAGAGTAGATCTGTCTTACAAACTGATCTCTTAGCCAAATTTTTTCCTTTTTTTGAACAATGTCTATTTATGAACTGACTGAATCTTATTTTATGACAGCTCTATTCATATCAAAGTTACAGATGTTTTTCTGTAGTTCTAAGAATGTTTTGATTCAATTGAGCTGATTCATTAACATTGATGCAAGATCAATCAATTATGCACTGCACAAATTTGTCTGCCTTTTATTCCGTCCATTTTATAAATATGTTAGTCTTTTTATTCGGTCTATTTTTTATAATAATTTTATTCTATAGTTTTCTAGGGAACATTGACAATTTGCCGTATTTATTTGACAAATGTCACCATAGACAGTTTCCTTGTTTTTATTATTATAGATAAGGGAAATTTCCTCTTTTCCCTGCTTATATGTAGACTTTTGTACAAGATATTTTGTTAAATGTGGATAAAGTGAACTCCACAAGTTGTTCGATGACAAAAATGTACTTTAATGTGATGCTTGTTGATATCAAAGTATTAATGCTGTTGAGCTGCCAGCAATACATTAAGTATCAGACATGATTGTTACTTTGTTTTCATGCAAACTATACTAGAATATCAATTACAACGCTCATGAGCTGTGTGACATCTCATACACCTTAACCACAGCCTTAACTCAGACTGTTTTTGGCACATAAATAAATTACTTTCTATTTCTTATTTTTTCATATACTGCATTAAGTCCTCTATACCCCATCATTCCACACTTTGCTCCAGCAATTTCATTCCCAAAATCTATAGCCTCAGATACTGACTTGCCATTGCTGAGGGAGAAAACTGTTGCAGCTATATAAGTATCTCCAGCACCAGTCGAATCAAGAACAACTTCTGGGGGGTAGGCTTTAGCCTTTACTATTGTTCCATCACTACACCTTGCCATGGAGCCTTGCTCTCCCCAAGGGACAATTATTACAGCCCTGAAATAAGTGAAAATGATGAGAAAGATATTTAGCTCCTCTGACACAAGTGTTTCTGATTTTGACTTTGTTAGCACTTACCCTGGATTTACTTGTGAAGCTAATCCAATAAGTGCAGAATGCGGATTGTCATACCCCAAATATTTTGCAAACTCCTTAGCCACAAAAACAACTGACCCCTTGGTTAAAAGACATTTTGTTGACTCAATGCATTTTTCAAGCTCAACAGAATATTTAATTGGGTTCTTGCTGTTCCTGTTCCATGCTTCCAGCAAGTCAATCATTTTTAAAGTTTCTGGAATAGTGCGGCCCTAGGAAACGAAAACCAATTATAAAAATGAATCTTATGAGAATTTTTCAAACTTATCACAAAGCAGGTACCTCAAAGTGGATCCATTTGTAGTCAGAGAGGTCTAATTTGGCAAAATCTTCTGCAGTGTTTTCGATGTAGTCCTTGCTTCTGTAGTGCAAAATAGTTCTTGTTCCAGAGGACCGGCTCAAAATAATATTTGTGAATGGGGTTTCAAATTTTGAGTGTATTGCGCAGTGAGAAAAAATTATGCCATCTTTTTTCAAGTCCTCTTGTAAGAATCTATAATTTTTAGAAAAAGGAAAGAGGAAGAATTTTAAAAATTAACAATTTGAAAACCTTTTTTTGAGAGCTATGGTAAAAGATTAGCATTTTTACAGTAAAAAGCAACGCTTACTTGGCATAGTCATCAGATGCGAAGGTTCCTAAAACCTCACACTTTGCCCCAAGTTGTGACAAAACGGTACAGGAGTTTGATGCATTCCCTCCACGGCGCTTGTGGTAGTCTATAGCTCTGTAAACAATTTCAAACGTATCAATAAGTTAACTTGGAAATAAACACAATTATGCCCTTGAAACAATTGGTCACTGAATTTTTTATTGTCACCATCACTGACATTACAGCTGCGCTTACCTTACCAGGGTGTCCTCCTCAGGATAGTGTGGTGAGGAGAAGAGAAGATCATAGCAAATAAATCCCACCATGAGAATGGTGTCATGTTTTCCTTCAGAAGTCATGGCTCTTTTGTGTCGGGAGATTGCGCCTGGGGTTGGTCAGGACGTAAACGAGCCTCACTGTTGAGCTGGGCAGACCAGTTCTGACGGAACATCAACAAGTTCATGAGACGAAACCTTGCGCGGTCGACTCGATTCGGGCCTTATCAGCAGCACCGCTGATAGGAAACGGAGAAAAATAACTCTACCTATCGCCTTTTGTTCCTCCCTGCTTTCGAAATTAAAAGAACGGATGAATCTTTTCGAATTTCTGCAAAGTGCTGCAAATCAGGTGTCGTCGTACAGGTGTCGTCTGCTGGCGCTACCGCTACTTCTGCTAGTGTGTTGACCGAGGGGTACCTCACTTCGTCTAGTCAGTGTACACCCCTGACTCCAGTCACTGCCTTGTTTCAGTCTAGTCACTGAAAAAGTCGGCAAACCACGTATTTCCCATTAGTTTTTCAACGCATTCGTGATATCAGCTAGTCAAGTGGAAATGAGATAGTCCGTCAGTGTACCCTGTTTTCGAGTGGTCCCCTCGGTTGACGCAAAGACGATGCCGCGCAGTTGGCAGCAGTTGGTGCCCACCGATCCCGCGATTAGTTTCAAGACACAGAGACACGCAGGGCAAACTGATTCCGAGAGTCGTTTTCGACGCTCTGTCCCTCTCGCACCTTCCCAGGAAGCTCCATGAGTGCGAGACAGGTAGAGAGACGTAAAGGACTCCCGGAATCGGTCTGCTGGGGAAACTAGGCCGAGTCGCAACACGTATTTCACCTGCACAACAGCACTCGCGGGAGGACAGAGGAAAAGGGGGGGGGGGACGGGGTAGTCTCTCCCTGCGGCGGGAGCTTCACGCGCTGCTAACTGGACAACTGCGTGAATGTGTTGGCCCCGACCGCGACGCAAGTGCACGGGCCCCGAGTTCACCAGGCAAAGCCACATGTGTCGGACGGCTTATCAGAACGACGCGCAGCAGGGGCGCCACGATAGCGGGCAGAAACACAAACCAAATACCACTTACCCCGTTTGTTTCCCGCGGGAACGCAATAAAAAGGGAAAATGGAGATAAGTGTTGGCGAGGGTCTGGGTGGGGAGGTCGGCGTCGTCACACCAGCTCTAGTTTCGCAAACAATTAGCCGGGGCAATTTGTTCGCCGCCACGTTGCCACACTGCGTCGCTGCTGCGTCGGCACTGTGTACTGCTATACCGTGGGTATGGCGCAAATTGAGCGCACCAATCCGCAAGACCCATCCTCGTTCCCCCCTCCAGGACGCTCCAGGACGCGAAGCCCGTCTCCATTTAGGCCCACTTCGTCATGCTCAGTTCAGATTAGGGGCGGCGCCTTCCACTTCGACATCCCCCGGCAGCCTTGCGGCCCCCTGCGGCCCCTGTCTCCCTCGCACCCCTACGGGGACCCTTCATGAGTGCGAGGGCGACACTACCCGCGCAGTCAGGCTTCGCACTTCGAATGAATCCACAGGGAGGTTATAGCGAGGCCACGGTAGGCCACGGTAACCAGACGCCCTTTGAGCACCAAACTCGCGGCGCTCCCGGCTGTCTCTCTCGCACCCCGAGGGACGCCCTGTGAGTGCGAGAGAGACAGGGCAACACTTCGGAAGCAGCCAGCAGGCCACTGCGTTGTGGCGAGCGTCTAGAAAGTTATTCTCAACTCGTAAATAAACCGGCTTTGCTCCGGCTTGCTTTGCGCCGTGCGCCGCCGTGGAGGGCAGACAGGCAGACAGGAGGGGGCGGGCCGTCGTGGGCCGTCGTGGGCCGTCTTGGGCCGCGGTCGCGAGGGCTGATTACGTATGTAGCAGCAGGTGCCCGCCGTGACCTGGCTCACTGCGCCGTCCCCGTCCCCGTCAGCGACTCGACGGTCTCGACGCGCATCACCACGTCGCCGGCAAGGGTCGCCGGCCGGGGTCGCCTACTTCCCGGTCGACGGCCGCGGCGGCCGCGGTCTGGGCGTGCGAAGGTTTGCCTACCTCAGGGCGCCTTGCGGGGCGGCGGTAGGCAACCCGCCCGCACGGCTGTCCCCGCGCGGCCTACCGGCCATTACCATTACCATTAAGGGGCCGGGCGTTCTGTCCCGACTTGCTGCCGTGCTGCGTGCGTGTCGCGTGCCACGCGGTGTCGGGGGCGGCGCTGCCCAGCTTGCCGGCGGCGGCGTTGGCGTCGCTGTTCGCATTGGCGCTGCCGTTCACCTTTGGCGTCGCCGCGGCAGGGCTATCTCGAGGGCTCCATCTGAACTAACTCACGTCTTGAGCGAAACGGGGTGGGGCGGGGGACAGGGCCACAACGACCTAACGGTCGTTCCCCGCCCCGCCCCGCCCCGCCCGGACAGCCGGAGCTGGCAGCCACGGCCACGGCCGTCCACCCTCGTTTCTATTTTCGCTCCGGCGTTTTCTGTAGAAACAGCAGTGGGCCGGAATGCCGGGCTGCCGGGCTGCCAGGCTCGGCGGGCAATAAAGAAGGCGCGTGCTGTGTCCACAGTGAGTCCACAGTGTGTCCACCACCTGTTCGGCCAGCTCGGTTCGGCCGGGGAGGGGGAGGGAGGAGGCAAGCGCACTTGACTTATGGATTGATTTGCACAAGGCGCACGCCGCGCACGCGGCGGCCGGCTCAGCGCTTTTATACGACCGAAACGGGTAGGGAAAAGCAGAAGGAAAGTAAATTCCAATACGGAATGGGGATGGGGATTTGGCTTCCGCTTATCGGCAATCCGACAGGCCGACAGGCCGACAGCACGAGTGGCGTTCCTGGTGCGGCACGCTCGGGCACGCCCTCGGGCACGCCGGCCCGGGGATTGATTTGATTCATCCCGCGTTACTTCCTCCGACAGGGCCGCACCGCAGCGCGTCGCCTGAGCCCCGGAACGCCCGGAACGCCCGGAACGCCCGGAACGCCCGGAACGCCCGGAACGCCCGGAACGCCCGGAACGCCCGGAACGCCCGGAACGCCCGGAACGCCCGGAACGCCCCGCCGCCCCTTTCAGTTGCCGCTAAGGGTGCGTGGAAGCGGCCTGAGCCGGAGAAGACCAATTCCATATGCCAGCGCGCTCGCGCGGCTCGCGCCATGCAACGCGGCGCTGGGCCCGCTGGGCTGGCGGGCACCCTGCCTGTCTCGCGTCCTCTATTTATGGCGCGGCGCCGTCTCTCCACCATCCGCACGAGGAGGCTGGCGAGGACCAGGACCAGGGCGGAGAGGAAAGTGAATGAGATGAGGGAGAGGGGTGCCCCGCTGTCTGCAGTCGTGGCGTGGCTGTTGTGCTGGCTCTGGCCCTGCTGGCCCTGCGGGCCGTGCGGGCGTGGCGGCTAAGGGTGGCTGGGCAGGGCTGCCTAGGGCTGCAGGGCTGGAAGGGGATGGGCTGCCTGGGCTGCTTGGCCATGGCCAGCGTCCCGCGCGTCCCGTCCCGCGCCGCGCCGACTCTCGGCCCTCTCGGCCCTCTCGGCCATGCAGCCTGGGCCCCGCCTGGCCCAGCCCGGCCCGTATTGATCGGGGAGGGGCGGGGCCAGGAGGGGAGGGGGTGGGGGCGTAGCCACAGGTGCGGGGGAGCCAGGAGCCCCCCAGACCGTCAGACCGTACGCTGTGCTGCGCGCTGCCATGGCGCTGCGCTGGGACAGGACCAGTTGAGCGGCCGCAGTCACTGGAGCAGCAGCCAGCCAGCCCGCCAGCCGCAGCGCAGCCCCGCGACCGCGCACCGCGCACCGCGCCGCACCGCGCTTCCCTCGCGTCAGCCGACAGCTGACCGCGCCACCGCGTCCGCGCGTTGCCGTGCCGCCGAGCTGTCCGAGGCCATGGAGGGCTTCCCGCAGGTCGTGGAGCTGAACGTGGGCGGCGTGTTCTACTCGACGACGCCCGCCACGCTGACGCGCGAGCCCGAGTCGCTGCTGGGCCGGCTGTTCTCCGGGGCCGCGCCGCCGCCGCCCAAAGACTCCAAGGGCAAGTACTTCCTGGACCGCGACGGCGTGCTGTTCCGCTACGTGCTGGACTACCTGCGCAGCGGCGTCCTGGTGCTGCCGGACTCGTTCCGCGAGCGCGAGCGCCTCCGCGAGGAGGGCCAGCAGATGGCGCTCTCCGGCATGCTGGAGGCCATGGGCGCGCAGGAGCGGGCGCGGCCGCCCGGCTTCATCACGGTGGGCTACCGGGGCAGCTTCGCGTTCGGCCGCGACGGCCTGGCCGACGTCAAGTTCCGCAAGCTGTCCCGCCTGCTGGTGTGCGGGCGGGTGGCGCTGTGCCGCGCCGTGTTCGGCGAGGCCCTCAACGAGAGCCGCGACCCGGACCACGGCATGACGGACCGCTACACCGCGCGGTTCTTCCTCAAGCACTCGTCGCTGGAGCAGGCCTTCGACTCCCTGCAGGAGCAGGGCTTCCGTCTGGCCGGCTCCTGCGGCTCGGGCACCGCGGGCGGCAGCGCCGACCTCAAGCCCGGCGTCGACTCGGAGGAGAACCGCTGGAACCACTACAACGAGTTCGTGTTCGTGCGTGACTAGACCGCCCCGCGCGCCCCGCGCGTGTGTGCGTGCGTGCGCGTGTGAGAGTGCCGCCGCGGCGTCCTGCCCGCGTCCTGCCCGCGTCCTGCAGGCCAACTGGATTACTCGTCGCCGGGATAGTGACATCGCACATCGTCAGTGGAGTCTTCGGGACGGCGGTGAGATGAATAATCGAAAGCAGTTCGATTATAGTGCGCGGCACCCACCGCCTTGTCGGTTTCATTCTTATCGCTGCGGCCGGAAGTAGGCTACTGTAGTGGTACCAGACCGCAGTAGGAAATCACTCCAGTCACTCTTTAGATCACTCAACAAAGTTATCTCTTACTTCAAATTTGTATGGTTACGACTACTTCTACTCCTACGGAACAGGATATCACTTTGATCAATGTACTTGTTAATATGCGCATTTACTTCTCCCCTAAACTGCTTTTAACTGCAGTGTTTTTGAGGTAGTATGTTACGATGGAAACTAAAAAGAAACTTTTATTTGATAATAATGAACATTTTGTAAATAGTGAACATAATGTCTGTCAACTGTGATATGGCGAATGACCGTAGGCTCGACCCCTGAACGCATGTCTCCTGTGTGCCAAAGTGTGGCGTCATTTTGGGACGTTACAATCATCAAGTGTAGAAAGTCTTGCGAAAATATTTTCCATTTTTTGCCCGAACGATGTTTAAGATCTGTCAAGGTAAACTCAACGCTCATTCACGACAATACCAATCGGGCATTTTAATGAGGGATTCACTTTGTAATCGTGTCTGAATTCGCCCTCACCTGTCTTTCTGAAAAACACACGAATTCGGAGGAACAATGCGTCGCAGGCGGCGTGCGCGAAAGTGGGGTACAACTTGTACTGTTTTTTTTCTTCATTTTTTTTCTTTTTTTACTGTTAAGACTTTCCATTATTGTTTTTCGTTTCTCTTCTTGTTAAGGGGGTAGCCTCTCCAGCCTAGCCCGGACCGCCCGCCTAGCCACCGCAATTTGCTCAAAGAGGAGAGTTTCACTTGTTGTTCCTAATGAGAAATTTCGCGGCTCGTTGCGTCTAGTCCTCCGTGGACCGCCGTGGACCGCCGTGGACGCGGCGCGATTAAAAATTCACCAGCCTCGGCCAGGCAACGCCAGGCTACCCATCACGCAATTTAATTCCCGCCTCACGGTTGAGAAATTCCTTTGGATGGGGAGGCTAATTTCATTTGATAACGCGGCGCGCCAGGCCGCGAGGCCAAAACGAGTTTTACCTTTTTTTGCGGTGTGGGGCCGGCTTGGGCGCGCGGAGAGGCTGCCCTTTGTTCGCTGCATTCTGTTTGTTGACGCCGCGGTCCTCGGACAGGGCCTCGGTGGAGGCGGCCGCCTCGCCTCGACTCGCACCTGGACAAGGCCAGCCCTCGGGCCAGGCCTCGGGCCAGGCGGGGCGGGCAAGGCGGCCCGGGCGGCGTGCCCTGGGGACGGCCGGATCGTCCCCCAGTACACCAGTACTCCAGTATCGACCATGCCGGAAGAGGGCCTGCCGTGCCGATAAGGCGCTTATCCGCAGGAGGAGGACACTATTGGCAGGCAGCCTCGGGCAAGCAGGTGGGCGGTATTGGCAGTGTCGCCGCACCGAGGCTGCCTGCCAGGCCCTGCCAGGCCCTGCCTCCCCGTAATGAGGCAGTGCGCTGTGAAGCTCTTTTCAGCGCGCCCGCCCCGCCCGCGCCGCGCCTTTCAGCCGGCGACGCTCAAAGGCGGGGCGTCGGCTAGACCGGCCGTCGGGCGGGGCGGGCGGGGCGGGCGCGCTGAGGCGAGCTCACCGTTCGGGGGGATCGGGGCGTGTTGATCAAAGAATTCTGCTGAAAAGAAAGTTACAGTGCAGCGCGGCTTGCCTCGCACAGAGTAGTTCGCCCCGCGGGGGTTTGGTGTAGTCTCCAGCCGCGGGTCGCTGTCGGTAGCAGCGTGGTCCAGGAGTCAGGGCGTCCTCATCTTTATTCCGTCTTCGGGGCCATCGGACGGGGCGACGCGGCGACGCGGCCAAGCGGCCCAGGTTGCCTCGCATCGACCGCGCATCACTAATCGACCTCCATCGGGCAAGCAGGGCGCAGCAGGGCAAGCCGACCCGATGGCCCCCGATGGCCCCGTGGCTCACTCGGAGCCCTCGGCGTCGCCCTGGCGTCGCCCTGGGACGGGGGGCTTGGAACGCCTCGCAGCGCACGCAAATTGGGTTAGGTCTGTCGAGCCGTATTTTCGGCCGTTTACTGGAGAGGCGGGGCGTGGGGTGTGGGGGCGTGGGGATATGGGGCGGCTCTAAGCCCACGGAACGAATCACAGCCCGGAGCCTGCAATGTGGTGCGAGGTAGCAGCTTGAATCCGCCGCCAGGTACCGTATTATTCCAGGCCCGGCTTCCAGGCTCGGCTTCCAGGCCGCTCGCGGGCCGCCCCCAAACCGGCAGCCTCGCCGAGAAGGGGTTTTCTCCGGCAAGTTTACGAAGCGAGTGGGCGGGGCGGGGCGGGGCCGTGGGCCGATATCACATGTGTGCGGTTTGCTGTGTTGTAATGCGCGAGGACGGGGAGACGAGGGAGACGAGGGAGCAAAGGAGGGAGCGCGCTAGGGGCTGGCCCGGGTGGCCCGGGTGGCGGAGCGCAAAGCAGAGCGGGGCAAGGCGGCAAGGCGGAGCCCGCCGCCGGTGTCCTCTCGGGTCACACCCTTACACCACCCATTTCCCTCACAGATTCACACCACCTGCATCTCTCTCTCTCTTCCTCTGCGACCCGTCGGCAGGGCCGCGGGGCGATGGGAAAGGGATCGGCTCTAACGCCCCCCTTTTTAAGGGTGACCCACAACACACGACGCGTCTGAAAGCAGCGCGGCGAAAAGAAACAAAATAGTAGAAAGGCAAAAAAAGTGGTGGAAAATTTAGCACGTCAGCTCCAGGTCCAGCCGAGGCGAAGCGGCAGGCCGCTTTCTTGCGCGTCCCGAAGTTCCGACCCAGCACGCCCAGCACCCCAACCCCGCGGCCTGTCCACCCTTTGATATTATTACTCTGGTTATCGGCCACGTGCATGGCCAGGCCCATTGTGCGGCCGGGATCATTTGGAGAGAGAGAAGGACAGCAATAGCCAGCAGTGTTCACTGGACCGGAAGCGAGAGGGAAGTGGCGCGGGTTCGAATCCCGGCGGCGGCCGCTTTTTGGGGCTGCCTAATTGTGTGGTGGTGGTGCCAGGTGAAGGTGAAGGCCGTCAGGTGAGGGGGAGGGAGAGGGCCGAACCGGAATGGCGATAAAACATCCCTGGCCGGCCGCACCCCCGGAATGCGTCCACGGCCGTTCCGCCCCATCCCCCTCGCCGCCGTCCTCCCCGACACCCTCCCCCTCGCCCTCGCCCAAGAACAGACCGACGGCCCGGTGGCCGAGAGAAAAGTTTGCCGAGTGGCAGAGCCGGCAGAGCCGAGCGGGCAGAGCTTTGAAAACGGGGGACGACTGGGACGACACACAGTGCTGGTATGTCGGGGTGGGGGAAGTCCGGGCCTCCAGCGGAGCAGCGCAGCTAGAGCGAGGAGAAGGGAGAAAAAAGAGGGAAACTAAAATACAGAAACAAAATACAGCATGCAAGCGGGCAGGGCGGGCAGGGCGGGCAGGGCGGGCCGCAGTGACCAGAAAGTGGAACGGAGACAGAGCACTGGAGGGACGGGTGAGACGCCGTCCGGAGCAAGGAGTCAGGGACGCAGCCAGGCAGGGCTGGGCAAACTTGGGTCCGGGCGACAGCCAGGACCTCGTCCCAGGACCAAGTCCCAGGACCGACCGGGACGAAGGAGCGGCCCGAAATGGACGCTGAATCAACGCGGAGTGGCAAGCGGCGCAGAGACAGAGAGAAACCGAGCAAAACGCGGCCCTATGTACCCAATATCTCCGCAATGTCAACTCTGGAGGCCCGCAAACTCCACAACTTTTCCCTTCTCTTTTAATATTTCATCTTTTTTTCCTTCTTTCCTCCGCGGCCAATCTGATTTCGAGGAGACTCGGCGGTGTCGGACGTGCACTCGCGGTGCGCCCCGCGATCCGTCTGGCGGGGCGTTTCGTCTGCTGTCGTTTGGGGCGCTGAGAAGGGCGTTTTCCTGCGCCCCATTGTCACGTGATTTTCGCCGGGGACGCGGCGCTGAGAGTGGCGGGGGGGGGGGGGTAAAGAAAAGAGTACACGGCCTTCTGGGCTGTCGAGAAGCGAGACAGACGGACAGATCGACAGACAGACAGTCGGGTAGACATGCAGAACCACCCTCCTCTGCAATTTGCTCATCTCTGGTTCGCCCGCCTCGGCGGCCGCCATGCCCAGAGGACTAGAGGACTCGGTGGTGCTCTGCAAGGCGCGGCAAGGCGCGGCAAGGCGCGGCAAGGCCCGCCCGAGCAAGAGGGGGGCTGGCTGCGGGGCTGCGGGCTGTGCGGCTCCAGAGGGGGTGGGCTGCCATGGCTGCCAGCCCCGTCCGCCCTGCCTCGCTGGGAGCTCCGCGGCTCCGCTAGCGACGCCAAAAAGTGATTCGCTGAAACGCGAAGCCTTCCATAATTGATACGGAAAGCGCGCCGAGTCCTTGGTGTGTGGTCGTGTGTCACTGAAAACGCTTTGTGTGTGTGCGAGTCTGTGTGAGTGACTCCCCCCCCCCCCCCCTCCGCGGACTAAGGCCCTGGAGTCCTGGAGTCGCCTGAAGTGCACTCACTCGGCCAGGCATTGTGTTTCCTGCGGGGTGGGAGACCGGAAACCAGCAGCCTGCTGTGCACAGCGCCGCAATCGCACTGCTCCACTCGTTAAGAGCCATCGAATGAGGCGAAAGGACTCTGCTTCAGTGCGCCAGTGTGTGAGTGAGTGAGCGTCGAAGAAGGAAATGGGGGAGAAGTCTTCTGCGCTCAAGCGCTTTCTGACTGTCTTTCTGTCTTTGTGGACTGGGAAGTTAGTGTTCCCCATGTCAGCACCGTGCCAAGTTGCGCGTCGAGCTTCTGTCGCGCCGCGGGCGCTGCTCCGGCCGAGCCGAGTCGAGCCGAGTCCGGGCTCGGCACAGTGGGCCAGAAGACCGGCGCCGGCGGACAAAATTCTAGACGCGCGTTTTGAGCTCCAGAGTCGCTGAACAGGACTCGAACCGAGCGTGTGACCCCACCAATGGATTCCTCGTTCGGAGCGTAATGTCTTGATGGGGTCACACGCTCGGCTCGAGTCCCATTTGGCGACTCTGGAGCTCAAAACGCGTCCGGGATTTTGACCGCCTCCACCGGTCTTCTGGCCCACTGTGGGGCTGTCTGCACGAACTCGGCGCCTCGGCAGCGATTCGAGTCCTTGCTCCTCGGCCTCCGTTTGTAATTGAATGACGGGCCTTTGTTTGTGTTCCCGATGAAGCGCGCGCCGGACAGCGCTGCAGCGTTCCAGTCCTCCGATTCTTTCGCCGAGTTCGTCGCGTTCTCGCAGTGTACCGCCCTCGACCGCCCCTTTCGGCCGTTCGTGAGGTGGCGTGCCTGCGGGCTGCGCTAGCTCCGCGTGGGTGTCTCTTTAGCCAAGCCCACGGGCCTGACACGCGGCGAGCCCCAATCGAAACCGGATCGGCTGACTGTCAAGGGACAAAAAAAAAAAAAAAAAAAAAAAAATCTCGGGAAAATAAAAGGAAAGTTGTAATTTGGCGCAGCAGTGCAGCCGATGAGCTGGGACTACTCCAGCGGTCCCGTTGAGGGTCCCGTCCCGTCCCACTCCAAGCCTCAGTGTGTCGTTGATGGTGGCGTCAACTTTCGGACGGCGTCAAAGTTAGAGGGCTCGGTTGGCGGGGCGGCGGGGCGGGGCGGCGGGGCGGCGGGGTGGCGGGGAGGCATGCAGCCCCCGGTTGACGCTGACGTAGGACCGCCTCTCCATTTTTGTTTGCTCTAGAAAGGCTCCGGGGGGTGGGACGGCCCTTGGCCCAGTCCTTGCAGCGGTCGGTGGCGGTCGGTGTAGGGCAGGCTGTTCGTACGGCAGGCCGAGGCCAGGCCAGGCGAACGCCGTCGAGGCCCTCACGGCGGGTTACCAGTCCTCGGGGACCGATCCGCCGGACCGGCCCAGCTAGTCCGAGCCCACCCCTCGCAGGCCAGCCCAGGCCAGGCAACCTCGGCACTCCTAGGGGAGTGGGCCCTTTGCCCAAGCGCCTTCCATCCTCCCATCCTTCCGGGGGTTGCCTCGCTCCAGCCTCACCTTCCCTCGCTCGGTAAGCCCGGTGCCGAAAGCCCGGAGTAGAAAGCCCGTCCCTCGCGCAAGAAAGCTTTATTTTGCCGCTGACGTTGCTGAGCGTCACCTGTGCTGGCCCACACTACGCCCCGCCCCGCCCCGGTCCAAGGTTGCCACGCCCCTAATCCAGTCTTGCTCGCTCCAGGAAGTTGCCGGCCACACCTCATCGGATTTC